TTTCTTTTTCTTTTTCTTCTCTGAGTGGGGGTCGTCGTCGTCGTTCATTAAATCCCCACCCCCGAGTCCCCGACTCATCTCTTCTCCCTTCTCTCCCCTCTCCCCATTCTGTTATCTCCTCCCCCCTCCCCCATCTCCCCCAATCCTCAGATCTCCCCTCTATCCTAGTTGCGGGGGGGAAGACCCCGCCCGCGGCGGCCACGGTGACGAGCGTTGCGTCGTCTCCCCAAAGGGGCCCGCTCTGGGATGGCAGTACGGCCATCCCGAGCAATTGGGCGCCCGAAGGCGTCCCGGGGCATCTGCTCCACCTCCCCCCAGTCGACATCCACGTCCATGTCCTCGTCATCCTCCTCTTCGGCTTCGTTGGCCATGGGGGGGATGTTCTCTTTGTCCTCTTCTTCAAAGAAGAATCCCTCCCCCAGAGGTGTAGACCGGCTGTGTGGAGCGTCGGGGGAATCTTCGTAAATTGCGAACTCCCAGCTCGCGGGGATGTTGGTAGGTGCCGACAATGTCCAGTTTGGATCGACCTCGAGTGTGCCCTCTGATCCTGTTCCGATAGATTAGTATCATGAGCTACTATGTGAAAGTGCATCCAGTTCCTTAGACTTACCTTGAGGCGAAGTATTCTCTTTGGGGGAACTTCCGGGCTCTTGAGCGGCCGCGCCGTCGTATTGTTGGGCTGCGGTGCCTTCGTTTTCATCGATGTCCATGTTGTCATCAGTCATGGTTGTACCGGATGGGGCGGGAGGTGCGTTGTTTTGCAACACCTCTTGTGCCTCCTGCTCATTGGCGACCCTTGCCATATTCTCCAGGCGAGCTGATCGACGCATGCTGGAGTTGGATAAATCGAAAAGATTGTGTTTTCGTTTGCGCTGCTTTTCCCACAGCAAGTAGGAGCTCTCAGACGAAAGCCCTGGGGGGTTGGCGTAAGAGGACTGACCCGCGAGAGTGGCTTGCGGGAATTCTGCGTGGGTGTTGCGCACGCGCTCAGTGGGATGATCTTCTGGAGAGTGTACGGAGTGAGGAAAGGTCGATCTGAATTCCGCTGCGATGTCTGGCCAATGCCAGTGGGAGGTATTAGCGCGAAAGGTGCCAGAAGACATCCAATCTTGGTAGGTTGCGTTTCCGTGCAAAGGGATTGTGACAGAAGAGCAGCTAGAAGCGAAGGATAACCCGCTTGAGAGTGAATTGTGTGAGGTTTCTCTTGAATGGGAAGGCTTGAACGGGTTCTGGATCGATAAAGTAGAGAGCTCGCGAGAAGTCTGCAAGACAAGAGGGTCAATCGGTGGTTCCGGACAGCTGCCTTCGCACAATCCGGCTATCTTGGAGACTTGGTTTGAGCGTGGTGTATTGGATGGTGAATGGCTTTCGTTCGATTCGTCTAGCTCAGAAACCGATGTTGCGTTCAGGCGAGGCTGCGATGATTGCAGATTGTGAGATACGACGTCGAAGGGATGATTTGGACGATCCTCCGATATTGCGCTCAGTCGAGGCTCCGATGATTGCAGGTCGTGAGATACGAAACCGAGTGGAAGATCTGGATTATCCTCCGTAAGTTGGTAGGTGGCGGTTTGATTCCTCAGGTGGGACGGGCTATGGGATGAAATTTGGACGTTCTGGTTGAGAAAGGAGAAAAAGGGGATGTTAGAATGAAAGGAAAAGAAAAGCGCAAGCGGGGCATGAGCTCTGAGGAGGGCAATGGAAAAGATGTAAGTTTTGGAGAGCTGTGTGGAGTGGTCTGTTGGAATATGATGGGAGATACTCACGATCTCCAACGCCATCCCGGGGTGAACCTGCCGTTCACCCCCCATGATGTGAGATTGGATCACCATTTTGTTGAAACTTCTCGAAATCAACCGTGCAAGGCTTTCTCTGTGAGTCGCCCTTATCAGGTCAGCTTGACTTTGGCCAATTGAGCCGGGAAATCCGTGTGCTTGTCTGCTCAACTAGCTGTTTGTATCGAGTCTGCTAGTGTTAGAGCCCTTTGAATCGATGCCCAGAGTCTGTTTTCTTTAAAAGAGCAGTGAAGCACCTTGGATCTGTCGGATGTTGTTATTCAAAGGTATTGCTGTTCCGTAGAGAAACAGAACGGACTCGATGTCTGTCGGCGCTAGCTGTGAACAGAAGTTGTTAGCTTATGATACCTAGGTGCAGGCCAAACCTTAGAAGCAGGAGGACCAGAAGAGCAAGATGAGACCTGATGGACTTGAACTTCTCCCTTAGTTATAGAGAGATTAGATAAGTTTCTCGATCGGATGCTTCGGACGCTGTTGGATGAAAATCGTCAGTACGGGATTTCACGGTCGCTGCACCCGACAAAAGTTTGGAAATCCAACAGATGACTTACCAGTTAGTCTCTTTATCCTGACTGCAAGCAATATTCGAGATGTAATATTCGGATTATTCGGGCTCGGTGACTCGCTGTACGGGGTTGTGAGTATCGGGTCGAAGCCGCGTCCAGCGGGGCAGCAACTGGATCAAAAAGGGACTCATACCGGGAATTGCGGATCGAATCACCGAGTCTATCACTGGAGATGAAGCAGATGATGATCCTCAGGCGTTGGTGATGCGATTGACTCGGAATGGGGTGTTCGGTACTTTGGCGGGGCGACGACAGATCGAGGAGCAAAACGGGGCAAGACGTGCACTTCAATTGGCGGCGATTATGTCGTCGACTCACGCCGAGACTCTGACTCCTTCCTCTTCAGTTGGCTGAATTAATGGAATTTCTTTTACTTTCCTCGAGGTCAGTCTGGGGGAATCATAGTCAATACGAGGATACCGTGCTCTTCTACAGCTCCATGTTAGCCAGCGAGCCAATCTGACAACAACCACGCTATATAGAAGACAAATTAGATACCAGACCTCTCTGGTTTATGCTTAAATGAGCAATTTGCATCTAGGATGTGTGGGTAATATTGAGCTGTTTCATTCCAAGGTTCTTACTCAAAGCCTGACATGTAACTACTTGATATTGGGGCACGGTTGGTCACGTGCGGTTGAAAAATCACAATCAAGTCGTGGGGGAGTAGAGATATTATCTCAGTCCGGCGTGCTTTGAGAAATTTGTATCTATAGGTGATTCACTCCGTAGTCATATTCGTATTTGATATTGGGGCACGATTGGTCACGTGCGGTTGAAAAATGACAATGCAGTCCTGAGGGAGTAAGTAGAGGTATTATCTCAGTCCGGCGTGCTTACCTATATGTGAAATCTATACTCCGTGGTCATATTCACACTTGATGTTGGGGCACGATTAGTCACGTGTGGTTGAAAGTCTCCGATATAGTCCCGAGGGAGTAATGTAAAGGTCTCTTAGGTAGTCCGGCGGACTTGCTTGTATAAGTAATTTGTATCTACGCCTAGGTATGCGGGTTACTCCGTAGTCATATTCACACTTGATATTGGGGCACGGTTCGTCGCGTGTGGTTGACAATTTCTACATAAGATTATTCACCCAGGAATTAACGGAGATGTACTAGGTATCTTGGCCCGGCGTGCTTCCAAGGTTGTCTGATAATACACCTAGGTACCTAGGTAGCTACAGTAGAGCCTTCTATTTCAAAGATACTACCTGGCCATACTAGGTATATGCGAGAGACATCTATGGCAGAAATGGTACGTAGTGGAAGACCTATTTCCGCCATGCAGGATCTTTTAAAGGCCTTACCATGCATTCCATGGTTATACAGATTCAATTACTAGTTGGAGGGTACCTACTCTTGCGGGCAGGGTTATTGTGAGCACTAAGAGCCATATAGAACTGGATCATCTCTAGACTTTTTTTGGAAATACATTATCTTGGCTTCGATTTTCTTGTATTAAGGACAGGGTTATGTTCCAAGGTTATACAATGCCGTAATGACCTACCCCAGGTAGAGATAGGATGGATTGACCTAGTAGTACTGTAAGAAGAGACGTACTATGTAGATATAACATGCAAAAAGACATGACATCTAGAAAGCTAGGCTAGAGCAGCGACAATAAGGAGAAGAGACCATAAATCTGGATTCAGATCAAACAAAGCAGGTGACATATTGCATAGAAGTTTAGACATGCTAGTCAATATGGTGGGATCTGAATCCAGCTAATTCGATTCAGGCGTGAATTGATGTAGTCGAACGACACAAGAAACCAAAATTGGGAAATTAAACGATAGAGTATGAACTTGTATCACAGGATGACACAAAGAAGAGAAACAAAGGTTGATTGAGATTATTACTGAGGACCGGAAGTGGGATTCCGTGCAGCGGGAGCATGCTGGCAGTCTTCCTATCAGACAAGCAAGAGTCAAAATTGAGACATGCAAACGGAGGTGGGTATTCTCTACCTAGTACGGGTTTGTAGTAGATCCCTGAAAGCCATGGGGGCAGCGCTGGGTTCGTCCCTTGGAGCTAGGGACAAAGACAATATAATCAGAGATGACTCAAAGCTACCAGGATGATTCAGACCAAGTAATGGATAGATTTGGACTCAAAGCTAGCTTGGAAAGATACGGGCCCAGTCTGCAGTTGAAGCCAGTTTTCAAAAGAAAGCTATAAATGCGACCACAATCCATACCTGATCACATACTCTCTTCCCAGTCGAATTCAGTCGAATATACGCGATCGATCCAGAGCCCAACCCACAAACAAAAACATCGCCCTTTGAGAGATTGACCGCCAGAAAGAAAGAGAAAGAGATCCCAGTGGATGATAGAATGATCCTGACATAAGGCCAAACCAACGCGGCAAAGGCTCAAACGCAGTATAAAGCTATCGGACACGGGTTTGCCAAAGGGCAGCAAGTACATTGAAGATGAAAGCATGCGAGGAGGAAAAGTCAAGGGGTATGCAATCTCTCGAAGGGTGGTTTTTGGGGACTTGGGATGAATTTTCTCTTCAGAAATGAAGACCAGCTTTTGTAAATCAACCTCACCAGAAATTGCGTAAATAATCATAGATGGTCAGCAAATTGGCGCAATGTCGATTCACAAGTGTTGTCTTCAGAGTATATTCGTTTATCTGAATTGGCCAGGACCAACCATTCCCCCGCGGGGATCGCCGTTGGACTGACCAAACATTTCAAGGAGATGTCTGGATGAAGGGGGTGGGCCCCCGGGACCGGGGTTACCTGGGCCGAAGGGACCCTGAGCACCGGGACCAAGGCCCATCATGGCCTCGGGGTTAGGAGGCATAGGTGGAAAACCTGGTGGAGGGCCATTCATATACCCCGGCGGAGGCATCATGCCGGGAGGTGGGCCGCGAGGGAACGCTTGGCGCTCGTTAATGGGAGGCGGATTGCCTGGCATGGGGAGCATGCCGGGTGGGAAGTTGGGGTTCATGCCACGGCCGGGGGTTGGAATTCCGGGAGGGGGGCCCATTGGGCTCTGAGTGTTACCCTGTTGAGCGACAGGTTGGCCAGTCCATCCAGGGGGTGGGAGATGCTCGAGACCTGGAGGTCGTTGAAGGGGCATAGGAGGTTGGTTCGAGCCCTGTGGCCGAGAGCCTCCGGGCGTCATGGGACCCCCTGGAGTCATGGGCCCTTGATTGCCCTGGGGGAAAGGAGCCTCATCAAAGTATCCCATAGGTGGTCCGTTTCCAGGTCCACGGCGGAGTTGATGGCTGTCTGGTCGCTGCATATTTGCGATTGCTGGGTCGTCCAGGAAAGGTGGTGCTTTCTGGCCTGAAAGCCCTGGAGGCGGACGGGGCATGCCTTCTGGCATTAAACCAGGAGGAGGCGCAATTCCACCGCCGGGGGATTGGGGGTTACCGGCAGGCGATGGTCCGACTCGGACCTGTTGCATCAAACGAAGAAGGTGTGCTCTCTCTAGTGACTGATCCTTGCCGGCGTGCTGAGTCATTGGGCTCTCGGGGCCGAGTCCCATATAATTAGGCCGGTGGGGAGACTCTCTTGGGGGAGATGATAAGCCAGCACCCTGCTGCTCTGCATGCATCATGTGGGGACGTTGTTTCTGGGGCAGACCTCCCTCGTTCGGGGTGCCATTCTGGGACCGTTGCCCACCAAGCATCTGCAGAATGCGCTGGAAGCCTTCTTGGTCGGCATTGTGAGTGGTGAAAGGAAGACCCTCCGGTAAAGGCGGGGCTTGGGGTTGGGAATGCTGGACTTGAGGCTGTTGATGCTGAGAATGGGGTTGCGGAGGCGGCTGAGCATTGAAATAAGGAAGAGGCTCAGGCTCCCGAGCAGGGCTCTCGGGCATAGGGCTGAACAAGCCTGCGAAGCGGGAAGATTTGCCTGGCTTCCCGGGTAAGGGAAAAGGATCTTGCTTCGGGATGGATTCAACGGGGTTCGGAGTGACAGCCTCTGGCATCTGGGGCTGAGGTTTTGAGTCGCCGAGCAGACCAAAGAATCTTTCCATGGAGTTGTCCGCCATGAACTGGGCTCCGGAATTGCTGAAGATTTCTCCGTCGGTCCGTCGGGTCTCAGGCTTTTGTGCTTCTACGGGTGCTTCTCTCTTCTCTTCGGCGCCTGCTGAATTCTGTGCAGCCCCTGATCCAGCCTTCATGCGCTCTTTCCAGCGTTCAAAATCTTCCTGGGTATGTGCGCGTCGCGGCTCGTCTCGCTCGTTGCCATCCAACCATTCGGGTTCTTGCTCAAATTTGGCACCCCTGTTCCACTCACGTTCAGTGCCGTGGCGGGTTTGGTTCTGGCGCCATTCACGGTTGCGCAGAGGCGGCTTATCCTCGTCAGCTTCAATGCCGTCCTGGGTGTGCTCATCGCGGAACCAGCTTCCTTCGTATTTGGATCTTGGGGGCTGTCCCTCCTTCCGGGTAGGGAACCGGCCTTCTTTGGATAGAGCTCCTCGTTCGGCGGTAGGATCGCGGGTCCCTTCTTTGCTCTCCCATCGATCGAATTCACCATTTCGTCTAGGTTTGCGTTCCTGGTCCTCGGGGCCGAATGTGCGACGCGGGCGCCCGGCATTCCAGTCTTCTTTCTCACCACGCCGACCATTGAGTGGCGCTCCTTTGCCATCGCGGCGCTCCATGTCTTTATCGATCCCATCTCGGTCCTTGAAGAATTTATCTCGGAAGTTGAATCGGTCGTTCTTAATATCCTCTGAATCGGTAGTGCGCACTGGTCGGTCGGTCAAGTCGAGCGATCCTTTACCACCAATGCGAGATGAGGCAAAAGCCACCTTCGGAGGTCCGAGCACAATGTCCTCTGAAGATAGAACAGACGGCCGTTAGCTGATGCGTCCGAGTTGCAACACTCCAGTTCGTGGTGGTGGGCAGGAGGGGGAAATCATACCAGAATTGGATCCTCGGCTAATATGCTTTGCTTCGAGTATACTTGATCGTCTCGCTGAGCCGTGCTCATTCGGATTGTTGGGATCACGGGAGGTTTGCTTGCGTTGCGTGGTTGTTGGGTCAGGTAGGGGCCTGTGTGCGGTCAGTCTTGTGGGCGATGCGGGAGAATCTTGAGGCCGAAAATGGCCGAACGAACATACATCCATTCTTCAATCGGAGGTAGGCCAGATGGCTTTGCGATAAGGGGCGAGCCGCGGAGCCATAAGAGCTCATCGATCTCGTACCGTCGCGCCATGGCGGCTAGAATTGTGTGCGGTCTTGGTTCACGGGTTATGATGCGGTCATCGGTGACGGTGTAAAATAATTTGAAATCGGATCAGGCAGAGTGGTACTCGGGTGAAGAGGAGGAAAAACAGGTTGGGCGTAGGATTTGAGCTGGAGTGAGGAGAAGCACACAAGCCACCTTGTGGCGACGGCGGTGACCAGCGGGAACCCACGCACCTTGTCCTTTTTCTGTAGGTACCTCTTGTGGGCGAGCACACATTTCCCTACATATTCTGTCTAGGGGTATTTTGCAGTGACATACTGAGCTTCATTCCAGACCTTTGTGCATTTCTATTTCAACCTCTGAAGCTCAAAACAATAGATTGATCTTTGTTGCCCAAAGGCCACATCCTATTCCTGCCCCTCCACACTTCCAAAATAGCACCCCTATCTATTGATCAACCTCGGGCTACAGTGGATGTAAATTCACCGATCGAGTATTCGTCTCCCACTGTCCAATTTACGCCCGCATTTCAACTGTGTGTTTAGGATATGCAAATGTCGTTTCTATCAGGTACACCAGGGCTAAGCTGTTTTTAAACTTGGCCTTGATCGTCGATACCTAGGTAAATAGTAGCATTTAAACTGTTAGTCAAGGACTTGCAGACAACACCTTTTCCAAATGGCGAATTCCACGGCGTCTCCTAGGTACTACCTCTTGGGCATATTCACATGCTTCGTGCACTGAATAGATACATTAGCCACAAGTGCACCTATATTCGAGGTCAGAGTCTGAAGACCTTACAAGTCACTCTCGATCTGACCCGATTGAGCCATCCAGTCTGTGCCTAGGTATTGATATCCTCAAGGTGCACATGGATACTATAAAGATCCGGAGCCAATTGAAGGTCAAAGTCTGCCTGGGTGGACATATTCAGGCATCAGGCAGAAATATATAACCTCGAACCTTCAAATGCATCCACATGGGCGAGTAATACCAACCTTGAAATATTCTCGACTTGCCTACACCCTTCACGGATCTCGAGGTCCAACCTTCAAGGTTGGAATATACTACATAGGTAGTATCATACCAGAGCCAAACAAGACATCACCGTACCCTCAGGGCTACTAGGTAGACCTTGGGACTCCCGAGGTCTGATTCTCATACCACCTGCAGTTTTCCAACCTTGGAACCACATTTCTTTACCATTTCACGGCTTTTTTGAAATCACTGTTGTGTGCGAGTTCCAACCTTGGAAGGACTCGGGAGATGTGTTCCCAAATGATCAACCTGCAGAACCAATACCTCCGAGGCCAGAGCTATGCCCAAAGTTCACCCCAGAGAAGGGACCGCATCATCAGCCCCGAAAAAGTTATGGCAGCGCTCCAACTTGGAAGGTTTGGCATTGGGGCGAATGGTCTGAATCTTCTCAGGTATTAAAGACAGTTATCGCTTGCCTCAGGCCAAAAGGACACACCGGGAGCATGTCGAGATACCATACAACTCTGGAAACACCTTCAGGGACCTCCGGACTTCAGACTTGACGAGATTTGCCCCGAAAATGCAAGCTCATTACGATGGAGAGTTTCAACTGCCGAGACCCTTGAACTTTTCAGAAAGAAATTCACATCACTAACCAGCGAGTGCTTTGAGAGCTCGGGAGATTCGGTGAATTCCGTGTCCAACAGAAATATGACTTCTAGTTACTTTCCATCCATGCCACGACCTTGGGAGTGGGCAATGTCTTTCTGAGCTTACTGTCTGGCGATGTTACGAATTTCCCAGTGGATCGTAGATGTGTTCTTGGACAAGCTTACCCGAGAAAGCTCAACACGCGTCTGTCCACGGATTATCGCCGTGTGATTAATCTCACATGAACCCCCTGGGCCGAGTTGGGCGATTTTCTTCCAAGGTGGATCATGTGATTCTCGAGGTCGTCTGAGGCCAAGTTCAAAGTCGAAGCACGGCCCCGAAGGCGCAGTTGGCGCATGTCATGGATCGCGGCGGGCGACCTGAGGGCGGAGATTGTGGAGTTACATTGGTTGCCAATGACCCGCTTCCAGGCGGTGAATCCTATTGGCTGAATTGCTACGGAGCTTGGGGGGAATATCGCTTCTGCTCGACGCGATCTTTACTACGAACCTTGGAAGTACTTTTACTCACTGAAGAGAACGCCGACGAGCCACAGTCCACTTCTCGCAAGCCAGCACTTCAATACCCTGGGCTAGTTGTTCACAGGGGTTGTCACCAGGTTTCTAGCACGCTCCTTTCAGAGTAAGCTGCCAAGTATTCCAAGTTTGCCATACCACCGCCAAGGAATACTATACCACTGCCGAGCTCCTATACAGGATGCCAAGGGTTTCGGACTTGGCTCACAGAGGATTAGTGACTCTGTTGAAAAAGTTCAAACCAGGTCCTGAACCAGTCAACGTCTGGCCCCCCGAGCCGCCCCCAAAATGTATGACCGTGGAACCACCCCTCCCCGCGACTCTCCATGTTTCCCCATATCTTGGCAACTCCAATGCCTTGTAACTATCTGACCCTTCGGGTTACCGCATCTGTACATCCGGCGGAGGAGGCACTAGACAACTCTTTTGTATATAATCGTTTGTCTTCACTCGTAGCGCCAGTTTCCATTCCCCGACACCCTTTCTGCTGCCCATAATGTTTGGGATTCCAAAATTCTTTGGTCTGAGAGGACGATCTCTCAACCTGGCTATAAGCTCCCTTGGCAGTCTTGACTTTCTGTACGTTGCTTCTGCCACTTGGTGGTCATGGCTGCCAACTCAGAACTGACCTTTCTTAGACTTTTCGGATATGATCAAGGTGTAACAGGTGGCCTGTTAGACTTACCATCTTTCATCAAATACTTCCCCGACATCAATCCCAATGACGGAGCAATTCGAGGTGACGAGTATCAGTCACTTAGATCACAGCGCAGTCTGAACCAAGGAATTGCAGTCGCCTCGTACAACCTAGGCTGCTTTTTTGGCGCTATTTTGACCATCTTCATCGGCAATCCTCTCGGCCGACGAAGAACGATTTTCTGTGGGTGTGTAACCATGACCATCGGCGCTTTGTTACAATGCACTTCATTTAGCCTCCCACATTTGATCGTGGGACGCATAATTACAGGCGTCGGCAATGGCATGAATACAAGCACAGTACCAACATGGCAATCGGAATCTTCAAAGGCCCACGACCGTGGAAAGATGGTCATGATCGAGGGAATGCTCATCACAGCTGGAATCACTCTGAGCTACTGGGTCAACTATGGTGCACATCAAGCCCTTTGAGCCTTGTGAAGTTGAAAATCAATTTACTGATGATTGATTTAGGAATGTCGTTTATTGGAGAAAAGGAAGTTGCTTGGCGATTCCCGATCGCTTTCCAGATTGTATTCGCTGTGATCATCTTTTGTTCCATTTTGCATCTACCAGAGTCACCACGATGGCTGGTAATGGAAGGTCGGCATGATGAAGCGCTGGAGATTCTTGAATATCTGAATGAAAAACCAAGAGACGACCCGACCATTGTGAATGAGCTCGAGTCCATCAAGGAGACCGTGAAGGAGATGAACAAGGGCTCATATCGAAGTTTGTTCAAGATGAGCGAATACCGAGAATTCCATCGAGTGGCATTGGCATACATCAACCAGATGTTCCAGCAGATATCCGGAATCAACTTGATTACCTACTACGTGAGATATCTATTCTGCACTGCATTCCCCATGTTACAGTACTGACTCGGCACACCAGGCACCTTCACTATATGCCGAGATCGGACTCGGCGACGGGAATCTTCCAAAATTGTTAGCCGCTTGCAATGGTACAGAGTACTTGATGGCTGCATTTATTCCCATTTTCATTATTGAGAAAGTTGGTCGACGCCCATTAATGCTTTTTGGAGTATGTGATCCCAGAAACAACTTCTTTTTGATGCGTGTACTGATCCGATTTTTAAACAGGCCGCTGGAATGTCTGTATCTATGGCGGTGCTTGCAGGAACCAATTACCGCTTGAAGTATCTCGGCGACAGTCAAGCTGGTATTGGACAAGCAGTCTTTCTCTTCGTCTTCAACACATTCTTCGCGATCGGCTGGTTAGGAATGACATGGCTTTATCCCGCGGAAATTGTGCCACTGCGAATCCGGGCGCCGACGAATGCACTGGCTACCAGGTAAGTCGTCTGCTCTATCAGATTTCAACATGTCTTCTCACGAAATTGCCGCTAGTGCCAACTGGATCTTCAATTTTATGGTTGTGATGATCACGCCCGTTGCATTTGAGAACATTAAGTATAAGACCTACATCATCTTCGCTGTGATGTAAGACTTCTTTCTATCGATGGAAACGAGAATAATCACTGACACTCACAGAAACGCATTTATCTTCCCCTTTGTGTATTTCTTCTTCCCCGAAACGCGATATCGATCCTTGGAGGAAATGGACGCCATCTTCAAGAAGTCAACAAACGTCTTCAATGCCGTCACAATTTCTATAAAAGAGCCCTACCGGTACGATAAGCATGGTGAGCTCAAGCCTGAATACTTGGAGGAAGCAATGCATCGTGATAGTCCTGATGTGCATGTTGCGGGTGCCAAGTTTGATAGCGATGAGAGCGGGGCTGAAGTTAAAGCCTGAGAAGATACACCTGGGCGAGAGTATATAAAGTCTGGCTCCATAGCAGACCCAAATTAGACACCGTACGTGCTATAACAGTGCTATTCTATCGTACATTTGTGCTAGCTGGGCCCTGGGGACAGCCGATGAAGTCCACGTCTACGGTTATAGAGGTATACAAAGTGTACAGGGGGGGGGGGAGGAGCCTTACTCAAGTGCTCTATCCATGGACATGATGAGGTACCGAGGGCTCTTGCGATGTCAATACGGCGACAACGACCATGCACTTAGTGCAGGTTTGTTACTCCATGGAGCGTTGTCCATGCCACATAGATATTTCGGGCGACCCGCTTTTACCTGTCAAATGTACACTTCACGCTTCCTTCTACTACAAATGGACTGCTTCGTGCTTTCGAAGGTTGGCCCACAACATGGCTTTCATCGCAGCACGACATCTTCGCAGAAAGGTCAGGAATGACAGCCTACAAAAGGCGTCGTGTCCCCACACTGCTGACTTGCTTACAAGCTCTATGACTGGAATCCGAACGCAAGATCGCCAGCTGAGGTGGAGAGCATGCCCTCTCAGGTTGACTTTTAAGGAAAGGAAAGAATGTTTCTTGAAAGAAATGACAATTCTATTTGTTTAATGCCCGAAAGAGGAAAAAGTATCAAAGTACGCTGTCGCTTCAAGTCGAGTGCAGCCGTATCCAGAATGATAGCGTAACTCAATCTGGACGGTTATGTGACGCCCCCTCCCCATGTAACACCCCAGCAGTTTCGCGGAGAAACGCCAACGTAGAGAATGTCTAGGGAAGAGTAGCGCCTTTACTCTCCAGGGCCGGGAACGGAAAGAAACCCACGAAGGCCGAAGCCATTCGAATAACCTTCAGCAAGCCACAATGTGGAGCCCCAATGGATTTACACACCGTAGTGTGTAAACTGTAGATGGAGAGGAAAGGAAAAGGAGAAAGCGCAAATGTCAGGGGCCGAATTTATTTGTCTGGAATTTCAACGCTAGAGCAAATTGGGCTCCGGCTTGCCGGATTTCTCCGGACCTAATTGGGAACTTGGGATCCCCGAAGTCCATACTGAGCACGAGAGATTCAAAAGAGGAATTAGATAAGTGTGAAGATAATGGATGCAGTGTTGGCAATAGGCGTCTATCTGCAAATGCCTCTGTGCTCGAAAAGGAAAGGCTATGAAAGCAGGTGCGTATGCCCAAGCGTTAACCGAGCTTAGAACTGCACCTGGGCAATCATATATCAGGACTCGAGATCACAAATAATGGTAATTGACTGAAAGAAAGAAAAACACTCATGTTGTTTCCACCGAGTCGATGGTTGGCTTTCCTCTCTCCCCGGAATGGAACGATCCCCATGTAAAGTCAAATTCCTTGGAACGAGCGTGGTTCGATATCGGTAGGAGGACTTGAAATTGACATCCGAGAGAGACTCTGATCAAGGGAACACGACTCAGGTGGACAACTTGCCATGAAGCGCAGAAAGATATCGAAATCAGTATCATCCTTGTTCAAGAAAGACAGGATTGGGGAGATGAGTAGCTCGATTTTCCCAGTTTTCATGTCATAACAAGCCTGTATGATGCGTCCGTTCCGTCGTCCAAAGAAAGAAAGCAAAAGGACCTAAAAGCTCAGATCAATAAGTGCTTGGAGCAATGAAGGAGGGTATCTTACTGGTACGATGGGATATGTTGCAGATGTTTGCTGGCGCCGGCGGAAGGAAATGCACTCAGCTATGGCCCCTAGCTCGTGCAGAAAGATTCGGTCGCAGGGACCAATAGCTTCAGTACTGATGATCATGCGGACGGAAGGCCCAGTTTCGAAGTTAACGCCGGCGAGGTTTTTCTCACGCCACACTTGCATTGACCAAACCTGCCATGATAGGAAGTGTGTTTCTTCCTGGGTTCCGTGACCGGAGAAGAGAAAGTGTGTGTTTTGCAGACCGATCATGCGAGGACTATGTCAAAATGATCAGTCGTGATGGTTGTAGGGCAAGGTGCGAAATTGACTCACTCGATGACAGACCATCCCAATTCCCCACAGAGTGGAACTATGCCATTTGATCGGAAGGTAAAGTGGGTGTTCAGATAGGCCAAGACATCTCTAATTCCCTGACGAATCTCACTAGAGCTAGGGTTCTGAGCAAGGCTCGAGTTGGGGTCCACTTCTTTCAGATCCAAACGCTTTTTGATATCCGAACAGCCAGCCACATGTGCTGGTATCCTCCATTTGTGGAGTTCTTCCTTGCTGAATGGTTTGAAGAAGCACTTGCTGTCATTGCTGAGGAAGACTGCGTCCCAGAGATCGAAAGATCCAGTCGTGACTCCGATGCGCTCAAGGTCGGCCTTGGAGAATGTTGGCGCTTTTGAGGTGTATATGAGCCTGAGCACGCGGTGTAGGCGATCAGGCTCCTCCTTGACTTCCTTGTCGTAAAACATCGTTGGCGAAGTGCTAGGTGTGAGAACTATCAAGCGTTAGTACGGTGGAGATGGATAGGCCAAGGATCACGAGAGACAAACTGATGGGACACACCTGTGGAAAAGAAGGTAGTAAAACTGAGCGGTAATGGAAAGAGTGGAAGAGTTCAGACAGAGAGAGAAATATTCAAGATGAAAAGAGTCATGAGCTCAGCAGCAAAGTGAGGTGAGAGTCATGCGGCGTGCTGACTTGGAAGGGCAGAATTATTTGGGGAAGGCACCGTAGTGAGGATATGCGACCATTTTATTATTGTACAAACGAAGGACCTCGATCTCTAAATTTGAATCTCATCAACAACTCGGCTCAAAGTCCCGTTACTCCAAGCATCAACTCGCTCTTTATCGCACTTTTCATATAAAGCATGAGCCAATGCCGCCAGTTGAGCATGCTCCTTTGCGCCCGCCTCAGCGACCTGGATCTGGATCCAGCTGATAATACCAGAGCGAGTGATTAAAGTTGTACTTCCACCAACCTGGGCACCGCGGTACACAATGTGCAGAATCTTGCGCTGAGCCGATGGACTGAGTGTTGGGGATTGATAGAGGGAGAGCAGGCGCTCAAAGACGTTTGCACGTCGGTAGACTTCCATGTCCTACAAAATATTAGCGGATGTGATGATGATGTGAATAAGAAACTTACAGCCTCGGTGCGAAGAGCCTTGACGAACAAGTTAAGCAGCCAGTCAATCTCATCGAAGTAACCATCATCAAGCTCGGGCTCATGCAGAAGAATCTTGTCGACCCAATATGTGGGAATCTTCTCAACTTCCCACACGGGCGCCTTTTGCAGGAACTTGTTGACCTTGCCGTAGACTTTGTGGAGGGGATTCGTGAGAACTGCCAGACAGTTTGCGGCGCATTCGCCCACAATCCAGGGGACATTTTTCTCCAGGCCAATGTTGTTGACAGTTTCAAGAAGTTCTCCGCAGAGAGTGAATACCGTGCGCCACTCCTCATACTTGGATTCCTTGAGCTTGGCCATAAAGCGGATGAGGCCGGCAAAGGCCTGTCTGCGAACTTCCTCGTGCTCGGAACAGATGCACAACATCAATTCGGCAATATGGTCCTGATCAATCGCTTCTTCGATGTCTTCTCGTTCCCACTTGTGAAGAGCATTGTGGGTAGTGCCCTCAGTGGGCAGGAATCCGAATATCTCGTCAAGATCAATCGCCAAAGCCTTTTTGGGCTGTGTGGGAACGTTAGATCCAGAATCGATGTCCATCTTATCCTCGGTGTCAACATCTTCTCCCTTCAGTGCCTTTTTGAGAAGTGATTTGACTTTTTTGGTCTCGGTTGTCTCCACCAAGGCATCTCGAGCAGCCTTGAGCGTTTTGGTGCTTTCGCCTGCCTGCTTCAGGTTTGCGAGTAAGCTGGCGACCCATGATCCAACGGCGGCTTCGTCGGAGGCATCGCCGGCTTTTACCACGAACGGCCATTGTTCGACGACAGCAGCCACAAGGCAGCTGGCAGTTTCAGAGTCTGCAGATAATGACTGGAGCATATCGATGTAATGAACAGGCTTCTTAGCGACGCGGGAGACACAGTTGTCGAAGAAGACTAACTGCTGATGCAAAGCGTCTGACTCGGAGTTTTCAAGGCTGGATAGAATAGAGGTGAATGCAAGAGGAGAACTTTGTAGAACAGAATTTTCGACAAGAACCGTTTTGAGCAGAGTAGAGATTCGCCGCGAGGAATCTTTGTCTGATGTATCCATTAGAACCTTCAAAATTGAGGTGAATGGCGAATACAGCATGTTTGCGGGCTTCTGCCACCAGCGCAAAGAAGCTGACAGTTGGGCAATCTGGAGAATACTCTGAAGTTGTCCTAGAAGCGACTCGGAATCATCTGCACTGATATCAGAGGCTTCCAGACGCTTGAGTACGTCGACCAAAACCAACGAAACATCGAAGCTCTCCTCAAGAGCGATGTCTGGCATGACTTCATAATAACATGTCAAAAGTTCTGCAACGGCCTCTTGCTGAGTCAAATCATCCTTGTCTGTTCTCCGGAAGAGAACAACTACATCTTTGACAGCAGGGCATCGGCGGGAAAATTCTGCGAGAAGTTTCGCAGTAGCTTGATTCCAAAATAGTTGACCCTGGCCGTGATCGGCCTGGAAGATCTTCAAAGTGGCTCGGAGTTTCGCAAATGCAACGGTCAAAATACGAACAGCAAACAATGTGATGATTTCCGCGTTTTGATTGAGGCAACGAGTCATAATCCTTTGGCTCAGAGGACGAGGCAGAATGTTTTCGATGACAATAGAAACGGGAGGCGGCAGGATGGGTTGCTTTTCCTTCCAACCACAATTGGCAGGGACAGGCAACTGAACGGTCGAGAAAAGGAAAGCCGACTCGGCCATCCACGATGGGGTGGCTTTGGGGTCCGAAATGAACATAGTCTTTCGCGAAAAGAAATCCGCAATCAACTCTGGCGCAACCTTGAAGATCGCCACCAACAACTCGATCTGGAGACTATCCTGATCCGGCCGCAGACATTGGATGAGGAAAGACAGAGAGCTGTTTCTCACTGGGACATTGTCCCTGTATTTGTCGACATAAATGGGCGAGTCCAGGCCCAACTCAATGCACGAATCATCGTCAACGGGCAAAGTCTCTGGATCGGTTCCAACAGGGTACCAGCCGGTCTCGGGCAACAAAACGCCAAGTCCGGCAGTGATGCACACGTTCATCATGACCCGGTGGATCTCGTTGGCAACAACAACACCGTCAGGGTTAGGCTCATCGGACTCTCGGTCATAGCCATAGAGAGTAACCAGACGCTCCAAGTTATGTCTGTTGAAAAACTTGCTCTTCGACTTGCGGGACAGATTAGCATCCTGCACTATATCTCTCTCAATAGCCTTAATGATTTCGAGCACGCTTTCCCGGGAGTCCTTCCGGATGTATTCAAGGAAAGACCGGGTGATCTTGTGCTGTTCAATGATATCGCCCTTTTCGGATGCATGTTGGACTCTCAGGTTTGCAAGCAGGTATCGCTGAGCGTTGAGCCGAAGCGTAGACTTGCTGCGTTCACCCTCCGAGCCTTCCTGTGCTTTGTTGGGGGTCAAAAAGACCTCCAGTCGCTTGAAGGTGATGTAACGTCGAAGATATAGTTGTCGTGCCACAGCTCCTCCGTCGAAGGTCACCATTTCCGTGAGCAAACGCAGACATGGTGAAATAAGATGCTCTTTAGACTTAGTTGCCGTGAGACCACGGTTGAAAAGTCTTAGTTGATCCTTCTGCAGCAGGTGTTTGCAAAGCGCAATTCCGAATTCCCGAAATTCGAGTTCCGAAGAAGTTGTCTTGAAGAAAAGCGCGAGGATGGACGGTACGGCGGTTAGAAGGGGCTCGTTGTTATTTCCGTCTGCAAAGGCCCAGGAGGCGATCAAGTCGGGGAAACAGACCGAAGTTTCGTCCTCTTTGCCGGAGTTGGAGATTTGCTTATCGCAGTAATTTTTCAGGATGCGCAGTTTCTCCGTCTTGGCGGCTTCGTTTTCAGCGTGGGGTATGGACAAGAGAAACTCCTTGAATCGATTGATTCCTGTAAGACTCGGTCAGGTTACCAGCTACCTGAAGATCATTCGTAAATCTCACCTTGCTTCGCGAGCGGAGCATTTTGCTGGACAGCTAACAGCTCGCGCAACTGAGACGGGTTCTTGATGTTTGATGTGACAACGGTTGGCTGCTCGGTATTCGGCTCGTCGAGCTTTCTCCGTTTCGCACGAGACGGGTGCTCTGTGATGTGCGACATGATCGCCGGGTTGGAGTGTTCGGTTTTTTTTCCACCTAATCTTCAGGTGTTGCGATATTATCGAGGCCTCAATTGCGATTGGTTACAGCCTCCCCGCCTGGCAAATAAAGTGGATACACCGCCTATTTCTGCCCACAAACAAGTAGGCGGTGTGTCGCGGTTGTGTCAACTTTGAAAGGTAGCTATCACCCGCGAACGAAGCTCTTCTAACATCGCAAAGAATTTGGCAGATTGCTTCAATTGAGGTATATTTACATAACGATTTCCTCCTTCGTGAAGACATGAGAGATGTTACTCGATGGATTTAGCATTTCTTCACATCCTCTTCCACAACATCGAAGTCCGCCCATGAAGCCCGATCAGATCCATTGGGGCGGCTAGAACGCACAAACTGGTTGTTTACGCCAGAGATCACTGCAACTGGCGTCACAACCTCGATGTCAGCGCCATAAGCGCGTGAAGACCAAAGCTCAGTCAAGGGCTTACGACCCTCTGACTCCTCACCTGCGGCCCTGTACAAGTGTGGGAATCGTTGCTGCATGCTTTTGAGGACTGTGGATGAGATACGATCCACGCTGTCACAATGACGCAGTTTGAAGAAATCTGCGGATTGCACTTTGCGAAGCTCCTCTTGCACATCAGCTGGGTATTGGCCCATAGCGAAGAGCAGAAGATCGTAATGCATCAAGGAAGCTTTGCCGTGGTAAGAACCGCCAGTCTTGGCGCGGTGATAGAGACCCGTTAGTGCCGCAATGGCACCCATGCAGCCGGTGCCGTAGTCCGAAATAGGGAAAGGGGGGACAACTGGGGTAGAGTGGCCCATGAACTGGCCCTGAGCCCAAGCAATTCCGGTAACCTGGAGTATAGGTTAGCATGTTATTATTCCGAAGACAGTTCGAAGCCAAAGACTTACACAGTCAGCGATCTGTTGCCATCCAGCACGACCAGCCCACTCGCCATCATATCCGAAGCAGTTCTCATTCACGTACACGATGCCCTTTCCGCGCTTCTGGGCGAGGGCGGCCATGGCTTCAGCGCCGTAGCCGAGTTTGTCTAGGGCACCGGGCCGGTAGCCGTCAACGATGACATCGACATCTTCCAAAAGCTTCTCGAACGATTCTCGCCCGGCCTCACTTTTGAGATCGAGATCGGCGGCATGCTTTCCCATATTCCCGTCAACTTGGAAGAAAGGAACGTCCGAAAGGCTAGGGCTCGTAATCTTCAAGACATCGGCACCATATTCAGCCAGGATGCGAGTCACAGTCGGTCCCGCAATGATTCGGCACATCTCGAGGACCTTAACGCCTTGAAGGATCTTCTTGTTTTCATTGTTGGCTGGGAATGGAGTTGGTGGAAGATCACCGGGCAGCTGGGTGACTTTCCAAGCAGGCTCTGCCACATTCAGTTTACCCTGGAATTGTTAGCTTCGTTTGCCTTGGCTCCACATTTAGAAGGACTTACGTGGGGAGTTTTGATGAAGTCCTCGTATTTGTAGGCAGTTACACCAGCCTGCCGTCGCTCCTTGTTCATCTCCTCTAGCTCTGCGGCTGTGTACTGTTGAGTCTTCTCCTCGATTACCTTGATGATTTCCTCATAGTCGGTAAGGTCTGGTCGATGGCCCTGCAACCCTATCATTTCCAATGTCTTCGTAGCCTCCAACGAGCCATGGATATGGAAGAACTCTCCAGGAATCTTGGTCTTGTACAGATTGGCCGACATACGTCGGTAGCCGTTTGACTGAGCAGCGAGCAAATCGGTATCTGCAGATGTTAGCACAAAAATCCACGCCGTTAATTTCCACAGAAACATACTCTTCAACTTAGACTTCACGTTAGGGTCTAGTTTCGAAAGGCCATCAACCTTGGCCAAGTATGCTTGGCATCCAAACGCAGTGGCCGCCTCCAAACTGACTTGGACGCCCCGAGGCTCGGCGCCAGCACCGAAGCGCAAATCTGCAATTGAGGCTGCCACAGAGCCTTCGATACCCTTGAGCGCAGCAAGAGTCTCGGTTTCCTTGAATGGAATGGGGAAGTAGATCTCGTTGTGGCTAGTAGAGAATGAGACACGGTCTTTGTTGGCAAGTACATCGGGCGGTAGACTGAAACGCTCTGATTGCTCGCAGAGATCGGAGAAGATGCGACTGGTCTCCAGAACCGGGGAATATCTGTTGCCTGCCATGGCGGGTTTACTTTCGGTATCCTGTCGTTTGCGCCTTAAATGTATGTCCTTCGTGTTCTCTAAATTGAAAGGCGTGTCGTACTTGTCTTGATGAAGGTGTAAGCTCAAACGAATTGGCAGCAAGAAGAGTTGAAGTCTAGAGTTGCTGTTCGTGGTTATATATGACGATGAGTGATCCGGTCCCGAGGAACACCGTCGGGTGACCACACCCGCATCGGTCATCGGCTCATCCACGGCGGATATGGGATATTGCCATGGTCTGTCGAAAGTACAAGAATAAAATGAAACATAAGTACATCTATAGGAAAGCTATTTCGAGATTTCAGTGTCTAGTCAGAAGCTTGTTATCGCTTTCTAGATTTATGGCGCACAATTCATTCACAAATGGCAATGATGGGACGTGTAGCGTTGAACCGCCATATCCGAAAATGATTCCGAAGATGGGATTTCGGATAGGTCACGTGAGTGCTCCGTTCACGGGGAGCGCTCCGTGAGGAGTAGAGGCCATCCCACTGGAAAAGGCCATTTGCATGTTTTCAAGTGCTGAAGGTTCAGAATCACAGGACCGAGTACTTAGTCACGGTGCCAACCCGTCTATTACTGCTCAGTCCCTAGAGGAATTCAAGAATTCAAGGTTGCGTGCAACGTTACTGACAAGCATGGCAATCTCTAGTTCTGGATATAGGGGTACAATATAAGAGAGAAAAAAAAGGGTTACTAGCAGCGCATAAGAAGGTTGAGATGCGTTTTCTCGCGTTTTTGAGTACGTTGTCTTGTGTCTACTACGAATCAGTCCTCCGTGCGGCGTACTCCGTACGGAGATCTGAAATCCCCGGGCAGATGTCGGAGGGGTCACGTGAAATGCATCAACTCAACCCCGAATCTCCAAATTTCGTGTTTCACTCGTCCCACTGAGTGACAATGCTGCTTCGATCTATACTGCGGCCCAGGTCACTGCGGCCCGCGGCTTTTCGCTTGGTCCGCTTCAACACTTCTGTGCCACTCATCCGCATCAAGGATGCTTCGTTCTACAAACAGCACCCCGATGTTAATGGTGCATCCAATCCCCCCATGTTCTCCCAATTGAACTTCACACTCCCCTCCGCACAAAGCCCTGATATTCACCACTGGGCGATAATCGGAGACACGAACCGAGCGGATCTACTCGAAATCTTCCGTGGCCAACATATTAGCGACCCACCCGAAGCGCGTTCATATCCATACCTTCTCACAGACGAAATCTCCGCTAAAGCTCCACAACATCGCTCGGTTTCAAATGCAATCCAATTTGTGGGATTCAATGGGCAAGACTCGGGGTCCGTCGCTGGCACCCGCGGTGCATACCTCAGTGCGCGTTATGAGAGCCTGCGGGAGGAGACTGATTGGACGCTGCGACAATATCTGCGTGGCCAGACCTCGTTGAATCCCGTCGAAGGTGAAGAAAACGGAATTGTGGAAGACGAGGACTTCCTCAACCAGGTTGTCACCCAGCTAAACCTAGAAGCTTTGCTTGACATGCCAATGCAAAATCTGAGCAATGGCCAAATGCGCCGAGCACGGATTGCCAAGGCGCTGTCCAAAAAACCGCAGCTTCTGATCATTGATGAACCATTTAGTAAGTCCTTTCGTCCTTAGCCTGGGCATTTTGGATCTAATTTCTGCCCAGTCGGGTTGGACCCCGCTACAGTAAAAAGTATATCCGCGCTGTTGCATCGATTTGCGCAGAGAGGCTCATTGCGATTAATTCTTGCTTTCCGCCCTCAGGATCAAGTGCCGGATTGGATAACTCATATGATGATTTTGGGCAACGGTCACAACGTTCTTTTGCAGGGTCCAGCGAATGATGTTCGTCAATCATTAGCATCGTGGGCACCTCTCCTGCATCCCAGGAAGCTTAAGGCGAGCCCAGTGACGTCTCCTATGATTAAAAAAGGCTGGGAAAGCATTCACGCCGGTATCCTGGACCGGGTGTTGCTACGAGACTTACTAGGCCTGAAGGCTTCCCCAAAGACACAACTCAGGATGAGGGCAATGGATGGCGAACCACTCATTGAAATGGCCGGAGTCCGCGTTCAGTATGGAGATAAGGTTGTGCTTGGTGATTGGACGTCAGAAGTGAATGGCCAACAGAAAGAGGGCCTGCACTGGCGAGTGCGCCGAGGACAACATTGGGCTATCCTTGGTGCTAACGGGTCCGGCAAAACGACATTACTATCAATGATCACATCGGATCACCCGCAAACTTATGCACAACCCATAAAACTGTTCGGCCGTCCCAGACTCCCTGAGCCTGGTGTACCGGGGATCTCAATCTTCGAACTCCAGTCTCGAATCGGCCACTCCTCACCGGAAATTCATTCACTCTTCCCTCGCAACTTGACTATTCGCGGAGCACTTGAGTCTGCATTTGCCGACACATTTTTGGCTAAACCCAAGTTGAATGTTCAAATCGACAATACCATCAACAGTTTCCTCCTGTTCTGGCGTCCTGAGCTAGATTCAAATTACGATCCAAGCTCAAAACCAAACGTCTCTACGACGCACTTTCCCGTGCCACACAGAACCTACGCAATGGATTCAATCCTTCCAATTGATTCTCACGTCAACTATGCAGACAAGATCACGTTTGGTCGACTTAGCATCGCGCAGCAACGCATTGTGCTCTTCTTGCGGGCCCTGATCGCCAAACCAGATATTGTTATTCTCGACGAAGCTCTCTCCGGGCTGTCCCGCTCAGAGCGCGATCTGTGCTTGGCATTCCTCCAGGTCGGCGAAAGTGCCGTGAGTTCCAAGTCTCCTCGCATCGGTGACGATAAACACGCCGCCTTTAAGGGCCTCACAAATGATCAGGCATTGATAGTGATCAGTCACGTGCCAGATGAGATTCCGGACTCTGTCCGCTTCTTCATGCGCCTGCCATCTGATCCTGGTCCTGGTGCTGAAGCTCTCGATTTTCGTTTGGCCTCGCTGGCCAGCGTTGATGCCACTTTGCGGTCCCGGGCAGGCTGGGAAATGGCTTGGCTACCTCCTTCTGAGTTCGAGAAAAAGGCTGGGCGTGCCAGGCGCCGTACCAAACGAATGGGTTCGCAAAAGCCTACTGTAGATCATGAGATCCAGGATCCACTTGAGTTTGGATGGTGGACGATATAGACGTACCTCGTTGGGCCTGGTGTCGCCCTATCCATCTCTTATAGACATTCTTGTATATCTATTTCAATCTCCTTACCGAATAATACTGTCTTCACCAAAATCTCGCTTCATTCTTGAGGTTCAACAAACTGCATGTTGCAGCTGCAAATACAACTGAAAATACGATAAGGCTCTCGGTCTACCCAACATTGACAACAAGTTCCTAAAAACTCCCCCCGATATCGGTTGGTACATCATCTTGTAGACCTTCACGACCGCTTTCATGACTCATGGTCCCATCTTCTCTTCCGTCCTGCCAAGTCGAACAATGACGGCAACGAAGGGCCTTGCGGCAATTTATTAGCCCAAACAAATTTCCCATGTCATGTGGCGCAGAACACTCACCATTTCGCTGATAAACTGTTTGCAATATGGACATCGGACTGTCGGCTTAATGATCTTGGTGTGGAAGAAGAACATATACAAATGGCCAGCCGCGTAAAGAGTGAGGCTCACGCCCAGGAAATTCACAACCGTCTCAATGAAGGCCCTTCCAAGGTTCCTCTGTTAGAAACCAAGAGTACAAAGTTTGGAAGAAGCTAAATCTTCCTCAAGTGCTGGGTACATACCCATACGCCAAAACCAACGCACCGTCCTCTCGTGCTTGGTAAAGGGTGTTGTATCCCTCCTCAGTGAAGTTTGGTCCCTTAGAAAGTACCGCAAATTTTTGGTCCATGTTTCTATTAAGAAATGGAAGGAGTGAAACGATCGGCAGGACCAAGTCTGATACGAAAGATGTAACTACTTTGGTGAAGGCATTTGCAATGCTGTTCCAAGTTTCACATGAGGACCGAGTCTCAAATATGAGTCTGGGGATTTTGGAACCTGGACGACTTACATCAAGCCCAAAGCAACCTCTAAAACGTTGTCTCGGGCCGCAAAGTTCACAAACCCATCCCAAGCATGTCGGACTTGTTCTTGGGCTTTTTGCCCGGTGCGGATGAGGGCATCCGAATTTTCGTCGAGGCCACGCATATTTTGTTGGGCTGTCTTGGTAGAGAAAATCAAAAAAAGAAGCACCTCAGTTGAAGTTCCTGGGACTCATTTCGGTCATGTGGTGCGCGGGGTGCGATTTAACTATCTTGGCGTCGCCAAAGGGGCAGGGGATCGCCCAGGGATCCAATTAGGCATTGCCGTTGGCGATTCTGGAGGGTGGCAGGGCCATGATCTACACTCTCACCTGAGCATTGATGAATCATCCAAAGTTGTAACATTCTATTCTTTCTCTATTTGAAAATTTCCTTCCATCCTTTGATGTCTACTAGTACACCTCCTAAGGTACAGGCATCTTTGAGCTTCGTGCTATCAATGAACCAGAGATGGAAACCCTCCCAGACCTTGGTAACATCTTTCTGCAACATTCCTGCAATACTATGATTGTCTGGATCTGTGATCCGTAAGGTAGTCATTAGTTCTGTGAAGTGAAGTTCCATCTGGTCGCATTCATGCTCGAATGCAGTCTTGTCTGCCTCTCCAGGCACGAGCCAATAGCCACGACGTTCAGCCACAATAGGGCTATTAGGTGCTCTATCGACCATATCAAGCCCGGCTTCTCTCATGGGCCCAATCTGATCCCTTGCATGTCGGATATTTGTGAATGCGTATGCAGTTGTTTGGTGGTTGACGTTATTGGCTGTTTGCCGCAGCTGAAGTATGGCCTTGCAAAGTAGTTGGAAAAATATGAGAGACTCCTTTTGAAAAGCGTCTTGCCAGGCAAAATAAACCGCACCACGATTAGACATAATGTAGATCAATGATTCGAGAATTATATGAAAGATATTTCACGCGCCTTTGCTGCTACTTCCTGGTATGCTGCTGTGGGCAGGATATCTGGATATCAATTTGTTTATAAGCTCAAAGGTTCAAAAACGACACACGATGTTTTCAAGACATTTGCACAGTGTAATTATAATTCCTTTCATCGGTCTTTGGGGTTATGCGAGGACGACAACAACATTGTCTCGTCTCCAAGGTCCTATGATTTACCGAAAACTGCAAGCCAATTATTCCTGGTTGTGCGATGTTTTGCCTACATCAAAGAAGGATTACCAGGCTTCATAGTCAATGGGCCGTCTCACAATGGAGCTTCAAGGGCGAATGAAAGTAAATGATAAAATTCTTAAGGTATGAGTAAGAAGGACAAAGAAGGTATCGAGAAAATGATATCACGCAGAGACACGGACACCAAAATCAATCAAAGAAGTGAGAACTCAAAGGCAGAAAGATGAAATAAAAAGCCTCCAGCTAAATGCGAGGGAATAAGGGTAAAGAAAAAGAGTGAAAAACAACGACCTCCAGGTTATGGGTATGGGATGTCGCTCAAACGGCGGACTGGTTATGAGCGGGCGACTGGCTCAAGGGAGATGAGTGAGGGTCGCTAACAGGACTCGAAGGGGTACTGTGGTCATGTTCAGGCTGAGGGCTTGGGGTTTGACGATTCCAATTTCCCTTCTCGTTGATCTGCGAAGCGCTGGAGTTATTGGAGTTGGTGGCATATCGACTTGTGATCTTAGACCAGACTTTGACGTGCATGAAATTGAACAATGGACGCATGTTCGCAAGGCATGCTGCGACAATTCCGACGGCGGGCTCGATACATGTCCACACACTTGCTGGGACTTGGTCATCTGTTTTGTGTCAGTGCTGAGTCCGTTGCTGGATGAGACTTTCAACTTACATGTGATGTCTTCCGCCTTTTCGGCAAGATCAATCAAGACAACCAGCCGGACGATATCAAAAGCAAGTGTCCTTTTCTAGTAAGTATCATACCGTCCAGGGGCTGTTTGAATTGCAATGGGGACTTACAACACTCCGAGAACGAAGATGGCAGAAAGACCCATCTTTTGAGGCTTGGAGATGGGAAGCTTCCAAACAACGGGCATAGGCATGATCAGAATGATTGCGTCAGTCGCAATGTTCGGGATCTGAAGACCGTAATAAAACTTCGAGAGATTCATGCAGCCGCCCTCAATCATAGGGTGCCATGCTTTCTCGGTTGGAATACAGTTGAAACATCCAGCGAGAATACCGCAGGCGGCCCACAGAATCACAATGAGAGATGTAACATTGACAGCTGCCTTCATGCTTCTGATGGGGAATAGCCTTCGGTAGAGTGCAAGGATTGATAACTTGATAAACAGGATACAACACGTGTATAGAATCGCTCCTGTGAATAGTGTCTTGGATTTTGTCAGAAGGTTGTCGACGGTAGCAGAATGACGCGATAACCCATACCTTCAAATAGGTAACAATATTCTCAGGAGGGACCTCCACGATATGAGTTCCGAGACCATTATAAAGTACTTTCAAATGTCAGTGCTTGGTCGCTGGGCCCAAAGGAATTTGAACATACAAACAACTCCGGCTATAGATATGCCGTACTCAAATATCTAAAGTGTCACGTTAACTTCGACCTCATTCTCTCCCAAGAGAGCAAAATACTTACTAGCGCCAGGATGATAAGCCAATCATCTAGGAAGAGCCCCTTTCCATTAATAGCTCGGGAAATGACTCTGAAGCCGACCGCCGTTGTCGACAAGATAAAGGCAAAACATGTCGATGTGATGACCACATGGCGTAAATTGTCATGGTCATATCCATGAGAGTTCTGTGCCACCGAGTCGGCCATAATGTTATTGTATATGCTTATTAGTGATAGGAATGAACGGAAGCACTGATATCAGTGCGAAATGTCAAAGGCAATATATACACAGCGACAGAGAAAAGAGGCGAACTAAGACCAAGACAGAAAGGCAACAGACAGGTCGCGAATATTTAGCCACTACAACATTAAGTTTGAGTCCTGCTCACGTAGCCCGGTTACTGGATTAGCTACCCATTGAATAATAGATCTGTCCCATCCTTGCATGATGGCGGCCGATCAGTATCCGTGATCCCCCACTAGTAAACCCCCACATCCTTCAGAGAGACATGAGCTATCCCAAAATAGGCGAGAAAAGTGGCGCTCACGCAATGGAAATTTTTTCCCACGCCCATCCCAGCGATTAGGAAACCACCCGACTTGCCGCCTGATGCATCGTCTATCGTGGAGCCAAATTTCACCAATGGCACATGCACCCCTTCGTAGTGCATGGCCTTGCATTCCAATGGCTAGTTTGACATCTCTTCCTGCGGGGATTTGATAGTTGCATGGAGTCCTCGGGATGAGGCAAAATTTTGCCTGTTGAGTACAGCACAAACTGTGAAGTATGTCGTCGCGACAAGTCTGATTGGGTCAGACAGATCGAGCGGATCGCGTCCCAGCGCTCTGGTTCGTCCGATCTTGCGCACAGATCTCATTTGTTGCTGCTCATTGTGATCTATCCTTAGTTGCCGGCATGAAATGCTACTGTGTACATATGTACTGAGGACTCCATACCCCGTACAGAGTACGGAGTATATGATGCCTCGTAAAAAGATCGAGTATGGAGTACTCAAGACCTAGAGTCCCATCTTTGTTATGTCGATGCCCGCTCCTGGGCCTCGGCATCATTGTCTTGACGCAAAACCCCCTTTACTGCTCCCGAGGTCCTTTTGCAATTGCAATATGAGATCATAAATAACACTATTTTGGTTATTGAAATTCATGTTCCGTGCCCAGGTAAAAGTTTTACGACTCTTCACTCTGTACCTAGGTACTCCGCACTGACTAGCAGATGATTGGCTGGATCATATTTCTGCTCGAGGCTTCTGGAGGGAAGTCCCCCGTGGCCTGGCAGCACCCGTGGACCTGAGCACAGAGAATCCATGCCCAGGTGGTTACCTAGGTACTAGGTATATGCAAAGGCTTACCTCGTTCCCCGAGGTCCCGAGGTCACACTCCATCCATGATACTCTAGATCAAATACCGGTATACCTAGGTATCTATCTAATAGTTAATCAAAAAGGTTTTTACTTGAAAGAACCGTCGATCGATAAACACACCTGGTCTGTGTATGCCAGAAATTGGAGTGAATAATGTCCTTTTGGCTTTTCCTCGAGACGCAGAATGATATGTAGCTGCTGAGGTAGAAAGATGGCAATCTGGCCCGCTTCAATATCGTATGATGGACTCATGGACGCAGTCAAAGAAGCAAAATCTATTGATTGATACTAAATGTTGTCAGTTGTGCCAAGAGGGCATGGGCAGCAGAGTACGGAGTAGACATAGAGCACTTGGGGCCCAGAACATGCATTGTGGTTTTATTCAATAGACCTCGGGATAATGCTAGGTAGTACTTCGATTATCATGGGAAATCGAAACCGGCATGTTCCACAGCATACTCCGTACTCTGTCCATCTTATCGGACTTCAGTGCCAGAATTCGTCCTTTTTTTTCAAGATACTTAAAAATCCGATACAGGGCTTCTACGAATGCTCCTAGTGTTTGGCACCTGAGCAGAATATCATCCACAACAAACATTGTACCTGGCTAAAGGTATATGATGGTCGTAGACAGTTTCCTTGAATGTGACAAATCAGGCAAGCTGAATTCCCATATGTGAGTTCAAGAGCTACTATGTATTCCGACCTCCAAAGCTGAGCAGTCAGTACACAATAATTCCACAATAGATTGGCGGCTATGTGCGACCTCGGGAAACAGAAGAAAGAATACCCAGATAGCTTCGTGCAGCTGTGGATAAACTTGCCCCAAACAAAGGAAAGCAAAGCCAATAGTATCATGGATGTAGTACCCGTGGACATTGAAATGTACCTACCTAGGTAAATTTATATGTGCAGGTAGATCTCCAGGGCCTTTCGCTAGGTAGGGAGCCTGGTGCTCAAAGAACAATCAATCTGTTTTACTTAGCCATGTCTAGATGAGAGGTGCTCAGTGATAGATGTTTTTATGGACTCGGGAGCTAAGCCAGTACGGTACACATGTTTGGTCAAAGATCTACCTATGTACAAAGACCCGTGGACGTCTGTATCAGCCCCACTGGTAGAAATGTACTACGTATGATGACTCTGTTTGCAGCAGTATATGAACTCCGTTGAACAATCCTTGATCATGATACGGATTACGGAGTAGTATCGATACATATAGAGTTCTCCCTAAGGGGAAATTCAAAACCCCACCCATTCGCTTCTCCCAACTCCAAGGTCAATGCTAACAATGTGATGCATCAACCGTCTCGGTCCCACAGAACTCCCGTGCAACTCAAAATGCCCAAATAAGAATTAGACTCACCCCTAAGTCGCAATCGCTCTCGCTCCCGCCCCTTGTTCATGGCGATCATGACGAGCTCACCATCCTCCAAGAATACGTCAAATGATGTATCTTGGTAAATCATGATCCACTTGATATGTGAAATCCGTACTCAGTACGGAGTACGGAGTACGATGTTCATTTATACATGCAAATACCACTATTGCATGATCGGAAAAGCCACAAGTCACTCCGTAGGGCCATATGACATTGGCCCAGGGGTAGTATAAGGTGAGAAGAGGGTGGTTCCACGCTCCCTGGCCGCTCGAGCGCGCAGGTCCTCACGTTTTTGGACCTCTTTCTCATCCTGAATCAACGTACAACAAGTACAGCAAGAGGCACGTACACAATCCGATGCAACGCTGCCTTGGATTTTGTACGCCTTCCTTACTCGGGTGTGTTGGATCGTCGCCATGAGCCCTGAATATGTTAGCGTGATGCAGCGGTCTAAGGTGTATGATATACGTACATTGACACCCGCACAACAGACCCATTCCTGTGCAGGAGCCGTTGCAAGTCTCGTAACCGAGCATGTTTGTGGGGTCTTCTTTTCGGGATTTCATCGAAAGGCGGTGTTGCGTCCTTCCGTATAGTACACACGGACAGAAGAGGCCTAGGCAGCAAATCCCCAAGTTGGAAAGCTCGCAGAGTCCGTTGCTCCAGCCTCCACCGGTTGCTTCTTGGTTTGGGTGGGTTGTTTGGCCTGGGTTGTGAAAGGCACTGAGGTCTTCTGGGGCCGTTGCCGCCCTTGTGGGTGGAGGGAAGTATGTCAGTTTAGGTGATTGGAGGGGGTTGGCGTCTGGTACGATGTCCATCGTGTTGCTGCGAGGTACATCGGGCCGGACCTTCAGTGGGAGCGGCCCTGGAGAACTGGGTGGCGACACTGGCGGTGCGGTGTATGTGTATGGTTGCGGTGATAGTTGGGTCCCGCGCGGTTCTTGTTCGGGAAGGGTTGTATAGGACTGCGGGTGCGAGTACGCATAGGGCTGTGCGGATAGTGGAGTCCCACGATGTTGCGCGGAGATATCGGCATATGCTTGCTGTGACATTGTTTCTTGCTGTTGCCCTGGTATATTTGTGTATGATTGGGTGGCATATTGCTGCGGAGAGACCGCATGGTGATGCAGGCTCTGGTATGAATGGTTGGTGTATGACTGCAAAGCAATTTGTGCGCTGTAATCCTGATTCGCAGGTGCGGTCGCATATTGGGTGACAATTGAAGGTTCCTGCTGTGCTCTTGGCGCGATCGCATTGGAAGGCGATGCGTTGTTTTCATGCTGCGCGGGTATATTGGCCAAGGGTGCATAATTCGCGGGATGTTGCTCGGCAGGTGGGCAATTTGCATAATCCGGCAGTATCCCTTGGTGCTGAAGATACTGGGTCTTTTCATTTTGCGTCGGCGATGAGAAATTTTGATGCTGCGTCGGCTGGGGTGTTCTTGAGTCTGACGGTGAGGGTCGGCCTGGTAGTTGAGAGGACGGGTTCATCTCAAGCGGCGTTTCCATGAAGGAATAGCGGTTCTGATTGCCCCCGACCGAGGTATCTAGATTCAAGCGACTCATTTCGGGGGATATTACGGCTCGGTTCCTCCGGGTGAGTTCGAAAAGCTAACCTATCTCCAACGCGCGAGTGTTCAATAATATATCATGAAAGAGAAATTCGGCAGGCAATTTGAACTGCGAATGGGTTTCAGGGCATTATGGGAAGCGAAGATGAAAAGCAAAGCTTGGCCGGCGGCCGGGTGTATAAATGCAGTTGCCATCTCGAGTGTGAACAGAGGCACATCAAGCTAGGAGTGGAATGTGAGAACGGCGCGACGGGGCGTACAAGACCTCAAGCTCTGCGGGGATGCGATGATCTGAGTGGCTTGAGAGGATCGGGGGTGCTCTTGTTCCTCGCCTCTGGTTCGCTACAGAGTGGTTAGCCCTGGTTAGCCCTGTCCGGCCTTGGATGGGCCGTGGCCCTAATGCATTGGCTTCACATCGTTGGGAGTTCTGGTTGGGGGAGGGCCCGCTCGGCGCCTCCCGTTGGCTGCCAGAGCACCTTTTCCATCACAATCACACTTCTCCACTCTAAGCGCCGTTAATGGTTTCGCGTCTTTATAGTCCTGCTATCTGGGGGCCTTTTGATGTTCGTACCTAGGTAGTACTTCGAACAGGCAGCAGTGATACGCCCTTCCGTAGGTGATTGCACGCCTAATAGAGGGCTCCATGCCCCATACTTCAAAATCCCTATGCTGTACACTCAGCACAGCGTGGAGGTTGATGGAATAGAGCGTACTACTAGTAGAGGTGTGTATTTCACTCTCAGGTGTCCCACGGGATCGGAAATGGAGCTCTTTGGGTTCTGACCTTCGCCTCGTCAGCCATTGGCATAACTAAGTGGGGATCGTTAATCTAAGACACGCCCTAACACTTCATCATCGATTTAGGCAGTTTTTAGCCTCGATTTGAATCATGGGGAGCATGACCCCAACTAGCATACTAGTGCTCAAGTTTATCTGCATTTAGGTATGGAAGGTCCTGTGTAAGTGCCTAACGCTGCGAGATCAAGAAATCTAAGCTCCCCAGCTCCCTGTCCACTCAGCTGGCACCAGTCTCAATGCAAGCCATCGGAGCTAATCCTAGTTCTTGAACCTGGGAACCTGCAGAGTACAGTACATGATTCCTATGCCGGTGATATTGAACCGAGCAAACAAGATCTATGTCGTATTCCAGGACGATACTCCCGTATGGCCAGGAAAAGTCGAATTCATCCAGGGGCAAATCCTACCTGTCATATCGACTTGATCGCGAAGTACGGATGTAGCCCTGGCGATGAGCCCTGTCGTACATCTCTGAAGATACTGCCTATAAAGGGCCAGTATGGACGCACGATACGCATTGAGGCCAATGATTGGCAGATGTCGACCTCCCCGTGGATAGCGATTGACATTCCCGAGGTGACCACTAGGGGGAAAAAGCGGTCAACCAAGATGATCTGGATTTCCCTTGATGATATCTGTCCTCAAATCCTGGGAAGAGGGCACTATCGGATCTTCTGAGTACTTCGTTCAGGTGTGATGCAGATGACATGCACCGTCAAGATTGCGAATCTTCTCAACCCGGTTACACAAGAAATACAGCAGTAACAAGCAAATATATAAAGAGGCAAAGCATGGAATTTTCGATGACTTCATCTTCAACTCTTGTTTTCTTCCCTCGAACTTCTTAGCTCAAAAAAAGAGAAGATCTCGGGTCCACTCAAGGGCGGTGACGATCTCCCCCAAGGCTCTTCCATTCTCCTTCTCTTCTTTGTGAACCGGCCTTCCGACCGATTATGCGTGCTTAGATTTCTCCAGTCAGATTTCGTCTTCTTACAACGTGCGCGAACCCTGGGGAAACAACAGGGTCAATTCTTCTAACTTTCGCCTATCTGCCCGCAGCCCGTTAAGCCCAATCCTTCGACGAGCCCAACCCCCCGGTCTCCGCTTCCCTACCTTTCCGAATTTGTGCTTGACCAATGTCCACCCCATGTCAAATTCGCCGTCCGTTCCCGAAGAGATCTTGCCTAATCGCGTGGTGACACCTGCGGCGCCTGCCCAACATGATTGCTCAGCCATCCCTGGGGCCAGCCCACGTCACCACTCGCGGCAGGCCCAGATGTCCCAGACCTCCCAAGAGGTTTCATCACCTTCACGGGCGGAATCCCCAACGGCCCATCCCTGGTCTCAACCCAGGTTCTCCCTCAAAAGGACAGTAACCGCGCCGTCGGAGAACACCGCCAGCCCGGATATTGTCCATAGACCCCAGCTGTCGGAGCGCGACAGCATTTTCGCAACCCATTACCTCCCCTCAGATAGCGGCGCAAATACCCCACAGCTACCCCCGGAGAGGACCTTGGACAATGAGCGTCAGGTCAACTTGATTCCTAGCCTCGATGATGCTCCCGTGTCTCCATGTGCATTCCCCAAGGTCTCTCCCCACCGTTTCAACGTCGACCCTTCCCACATGGAAGTTGACGTCCACAGAAATTCTCCACTGCGCTCCTCCACCCTCTTCTCCTCCGATGCCCCCCGCTTGTCCCTCCTGCGCGCGTCGACCTCGCCGACTGATCACTTCAAGAAACCACAGGCAGAGGCGAGCGTGCAGGCCCCTTGGGCCAGATCTCAGTGGCACAAAGTGCCATTGGATGGACCAGGTACGAATACCAATCACTTGCAAGGCACTTTGCCTGAACGAACTGTCTTCCCTCCTGCAGTAGATGATGTCTCTTCTACCCCGCACTCGTTAGGTGCGCTGTCCGGCCAAGGCACTCAGGTCAGTCCAGAATTCGCATCTGCATCTTACAGTCCTCGGAAAGAAGCATCCACGAATCCCCTCGAACGAAGCCCAAGTAGAGGGCGGCGTGGCCGAGTGGACAGCTCCATTGAAGCCAACCTGACCAACGCGGAGCCGGCTTCTAACGTGCGCAGCCGTAAATCCAGCCACTACCTGGGTCTGTTCAAGGAGAACACAACCTCGCCAGACCGCAAGCGCCGGGAAGGTCGGGATAGGGATCGGGATCGAGCCCAGGATGAGACGGCAGGACTGCAGGATAACGTCATGGATTTGGAACAACAGTCCCGGGGCTGGCCAGAGGAGGACGCTTTGCTCCGTAAAAGCACCTCCCTTCCTTCCCTCGAGGATGGTCCATCTCTTGAACTTCCGGTGGGAGTCCCTCGCAATCAATCACACGATGAACCCCACAAGCGCCCCCCTCCAGCGTTGCCTCGCAGCCTGCTGGAGGAAATCCGAAACTTCCACCTAACGCCTGGAGGACGCCATGGCTCGTCGTTCTCCAAGAGCATTCCAACGCAGTATTCGGAGCGGAAACGTGACTATTTCCAGAAAGAATCTCACGTGCCACTCTCCCCTGCCGACTCATTTGAGCAGGATGAGCGTCGTGAGTCCCAACAGTTTGTCGTCGAGGAAGAAGAAAACGAGCAAATTTCTTCGGCCGTTTACTTCCCCCACGAGCGCACCGTACCAGACGGGGTCGATGGTGTACAGCAATATCCAGAGGGCCCCCATGATGTACAGCCGGTTCAATTGACGGTTCCTGAAAAAGGCCAAGAGCTGATGTTAGTACCCCAAGAGCGTAATTCTCATTCTCCCGAAAAGGAAATCAGCCATGTGGATATATCCCTGCGATCTAAGAATGAAAATAAGACCCTCTACGGAGATATTCATTCTCCCCGAGAGAACGTGCCTGACAAGCCCTTGAGTACTATCTCCGAAATCAGCTGGGATTCAGCACATGAGTCCGAGCCTGGATACGAAAGCCACGATCTCAGTGAGGATGGTCTATTTGATGACTCCAAGACCCCGACGGCCACGCCAAAACCGCGACCTCGGATTCTTTCTCATTCCAAATCCCCGGGGCCTCTTGGTGCTGTGGAACTGAAGCCTTACCGACACCAAGTTGGTGGTCATACCACGGTGTTTCGATTCTCCAGGCGAGCTGTCTGCAAGCAACTCAATAACCGAGAGAATGAGTTCTACGAGCGCATTGAACAAAGACACCCGGAGATGCTGGTATTCCTCCCTAAGTATGTTCATCACTTAGCCCCCATGAGCGAAATCCCGCCAACAATTTACTTACCGATTGCCTGATACAGATACATTGGTGTGTTGAATGTCACATTCTCGAAGACATCAAAGCGACCGAAGGATCAGCTTGATTCTGCCGATGGTAGAGTTCAAGATGTGACCACCTCAAATGGAAATGGAACATCCGCTCTTAGCTCCCAGCTACAGGAGATATCAGAGCCTCAGCGAATCGTAAGCCACTCGCAGACCACTGGTGTTATTCCGAAGGTCATCCTTGAGAACAACCGTCACATAATTCCTGCCGACCTGTTCTCCCGACCTCAACGGCCAAGAACAGCAGATGCGTCAGTGAGCCGTGCACGGTCTGTTGATGGCCTAGAGGGGATGTCGGCCGAGTCCGATCCGTCGGCACTCAGCAAGCGGGCCAAGATCTGGGGTGCCACAACTGTCAACCGCAAGCTTCAAGAGCAGGTTTTGCGTGAGGTCTTCAGCCCCCCTGCCATTCACCATCACCGCAGACATGCCCGCGGGCATGTTCACCTACCAAGAGCAAATTCCGACATGCCTGCCACCTGCCGACGTCGAGGCAACTTGTCGGAGGATCAAACCAGTACTCGACGACCAGTTCCGGGACCAATCGAAGCCCTCAAAACAGAAGCGATTGATATCAAGCAACCCCCCGGGGAAGGCCCAGCTCTTTCCTCGTCAGCTTCGACTGCTCTTGATGCCAATCAGAATCGCCTTGAGCAGATTCGAATTGAAGACGACGAGAACCGGTCAAGCTCTCTTTCGAGGGCGGTCCACCCAAGGAGGCGACATTCTGGAAGTGGTCTCCAAAGACGCGGTAGCATGGACTCTCGCAAAAATGGAGAGTTGATATTCTTTGACGATGAAGAGTATGGTGGGGACAAGGAAGATGAAATATTCTCCATGGAAGCCGATGCTTCTATGCCCTCTCAAGCCTCTCCTCTCGCCAACCAGTCGAGTTCGCAGATGTCAGAAAGTTACTCGGGTGCTAGCCAATATTTGACCGAAGCTTTCTCTTCCAATGGACGAGATCCATCCCGGTTCCAGCCGACGGAGCCCATTCACCCAATCTTACCCAGTAATCCCAAAGAAGCTCAGCTCAGGAAGGACGAAAGAGTTCAATTTTTCCTTCTTCTTGAGGACTTGACTGCCGGTATGAACAAACCGTGTGTGCTGGACTTGAAGATGGGTACTCGGCAGTACGGTATTGAGGCGAACGAGAAGAAGAAGAAATCGCAGCGCCGGAAATGCCAGTCCACCACCTCGCAGCAATTAGGTGTGAGGCTTTGTGGCATGCAAGCCTGGAATGTCAAGAAGCAGGAGTACATCTTCGAGGACAAGTATTTTGGTCGAGATCTGAAGTCTGGTCGCGAGTTTCAAGACGCGCTGACTCGTTTTCTCTATGATGGAGTTAGCTATACCAGCGTAGCCAAGCGAATCCCCGTCATTTTGGAGAAGCTTGCTTTGCTGGAGCACATGATTCGACAGCTGGATCGTTACCGCCTCTATGCCAGCAGTCTCTTGATCCTCTATGACGGAGAGCAACAAAGCCCTCCCCAACAAGGCCCACCTCGTTCCACCAAAGAACGGGTACCGCTGAAGCGAACTCTTTCCGACGACGGTGCCAACAAGTTCGACGTGCAACTGAAGATCGTCGACTTCGCCAACTGCGTCACAGGCGAGGACACCCTCCCACCCGACACCCCCTGCCCACCCCACAACCCCTACGACATCGACCGGGGATACCTGCGCGGCCTCCGCACACTTCGAATGTATTTCCAACGGATCATGAAAGAAGTCACCCAGGACGAGTTCATTGAACGAGGCGAAGGCGAAGCCATCGCGCTGGGCTCCCAGCCCGCTGCGCGCGATGACCCCTCGGACCAATACTGGGATGAAACCATGATGGAAAGTGATGCGGGCGCCGTCAGTTTCTAGTCCTCGGCTCGGCCCCGGCCCACTGCCGATACGTGGCGTTCGGATAGACTTCCTTCGTCGCCCTATATGCACCCGTGCCTGATCTCGCCTGATCGACATCACGAAATAACGCCCCTTGCCCTATGACTACTGCTCGGATGCACTTAGAGTCCGGGATTCCCAATTTGTGTTTATTGTCCCATTTCACTGTTTCACTTTTGTTCTTTTTGCAAGGAGCTCATGGTTGTTCTCGGTGTATGACTTCATTTCTCGGTTGTTTTATTGATATTGATAATACCCCCCAATGTCTCCAAAGCTTTTTTTGTTCCTCGATTTGCATTCTGCATGGGACTTTCCGTGACGTTGTAAATGAATATTATTTTCTTTTTTAGATCAACCCAATAATTCCACCCTCAAGGTTTTGGTAGCTGAACATCCAACGTGCTCTGAGATGTATTTGTAGCACTCCGCACCTGGGCAGTCAACTGGCGAGTCACGTGGAATGACTCCAACTCCAAGGTCTCCGCTCTGAGCTTCCTCACCAGCCTCGGCTTGATCCAGCTATCGGCTTTGGGCTCTGAGTACTGCACATTCAATACTGTCGACGTGGAGGACAGTCCGTCAAATACCAAATGACGTAGAAGGAACGCGAGCTTCGAAACAGCACAGCAAGTGACCCACCCAGGTGACACCGACTCCCCGCCATTTTCAGCTCAAATCACACGAACCGGAGCTCAGCAAACGTGCTCAACTGGAATCTTTTAAGTTGCGTTTCTGGCGCATCTCCTTGCAGAACCGAGCTTCCTTGCCGCCCCCCTGGTCAACATCAAATACTACAACCCCTACACCAACACCGCTTCGCTCTCCACTCGTGCGGAGAAAGCGCCATGACTAAGAACTCCATCGATAAACGGGACTTCGACGCAAACCGCCCACTCCTCCAAGACACAGAAACAGAGCAGGATGGTGGAAGTCCTGTTCTTGCAGAAGGATTTGGCTCGCGACACTCGCGCAATTCCGGGCCAAGGAGCGATGACGGGCTGTTGAATGATGTTGTGGGCGAAATCGTCGAACGGGACAGACGGAAGATGCACAAGGAGGTTGTCCGGGTGGTTAGTTTTGGATGGGGCGTTGTGACATGGTATGTGAAGCCACCATACTCTATCTCGTCCGTGGAGCTGACCGAGATCTGTAAAGCTTAGGTGCTGGTAGTATTACTGCCTTTTCATTATATGGCCCTCTGCTGTTAACCCGCCTGAAATACTCGCAGCTTCAGGTGAACATCGTTTCAATAGCCGCCGAAGTGGCTCTATATATCAACGCCCCGCTGTTCGGCTACTTGTGCGATCGGTACAGTCCAGCGCCGCTGGCTTTGTTCTCCGGCACGATTTTCGGAACAGGATATATCCTTGCGGCCTTTACGTACCGGAGTGGCCCGCCAGTTGAGGCGGGTGGATCTGGATGGCCCTTTTGGGTCATGGTCGTGGCCTTCGTCTGTATCGGGATGGCAACGTGTTGTATGTACCTTTCTGCTGTGGCTACATGCGCGAAGAACTTCGGCAGAGGCAAGCATAAGGGTATGATGCTCGCTGTCCCGATTGCGGCTTTTGGACTGAGTGGTATGTGGCAAAGCCAAATTGGAACCTATCTCTTCTATGAAGTCCTTCCCGATGGAAGTCATGGAGATCTTGATGTGTTCAAGTACTTCTTGTTTTTGGGTGTTTTGCTGCTTGCAATTGGAGTCATCGGCACCTTTGCCTTGCGAATTGTTGAAGATGATGACGAGTATATTGACGAGACTGTTGAGGAGCTGGAACGCAGCGGTCTATTGGAAGAAAGTGATTTCTTCCGACCGCGAAGTGGCAACCCGGCAACAGTTGAATATGGAACGTTTTCAGACGCTTTTGATCAGGAAAGTGTGAACCTTTCGGACGAAGAACGTGAACAGCAAAGGCTGGAACGTGAACAGGAGGAGGAGGAGCGTCGAAAGAAGAATTGGCTTCTCAACTATGAGACCAGAATCTATCTCAAAGACCATACAATGTGGTGGTTGGCCGCTGGCTTTTTCCTTGTCACAGGCCCCGGTGAATCATACATCAACAATGTAAGTGACGTCTTGTTGTCAAATTCGCTCATTTTGTCAATTTGGCAATGAACTGACATTGCAAAGCTCGGCACAATCATCCCAACCCTAACGCCTATATCTTTCGCCGGCACCACACCACCCGCCGGGTCTCCTTCCACTCATGTATCTACCATTGCCTTGACCTCCACGATCGCCCGCCTGGTCACAGGCTCCCTTTCTGACTTTTTCGCACCTCCAACCACCCATCTCTTTCCTCCCATCCCGGAAGGCGCCCGCCACCGACACCCAGACCCCGCTGCCTCGGGCCTAACTCTATCCCGAATGACATTCCTACTCCCATCGGCCATCCTTCTCTCGTTGGGCTATCTGATCTTAGCATCTCCACTCCCCATCTCACACCCAGGCATCTTTAACCTGACTACTGCTCTTATCGGCTTTGGGTATGGTAGTGCCTTCTCCCTCACCCCAATTCTCATCTCCGTCGTGTGGGGCGTGGAAAACTTCGCCACGAACTGGGGTATCGTGGCTATGATGCCTGCCGCTGGGGCTGCTCTTTGGGGTATCGTTTACTCCGCCGCTTATCAAAATGCCATGGAAATGGGAGATCAAGTCGACGGGCAGTGTCATGGTTGGCGATGCTACGGTTTCTGGGCTGTTGGCTGTACCATCAGTGTTTGGGTCGCCATTGCCGCCTGGCTGGCTGCCTGGATGGGCTGGAAGAAGAGAGGGATTGTGGTTTGAAAGGGTCGGGCTTGAACTCATTCGCGTTTCGTCATTTAGATCATTTGATCCCATATTTCGGCGTTTTCGGATTTCATAGACAGGTTTGTTCTTAACCACATAGCAGCGAATATCATTTGCGGCGTAAAGCCGTCTGACAAGATAGTATACACAATACAACAAAACCACCCGCAAGGATGCAGTTCCAATGAACATTCACAAGGCGTGTTTCCATGACCTCGGGACCTATCAAAGGTTTGCTCCGGGAGGTATGGAGTCGGGCATCCAATTGCTCAACATGTGCTGAGCCCGGGGTGGACGAAACCAAATCTTACAAGCGTCCCACCACTTGCAAGCCGAGATGCCTTAACCAAAAGAGGCTCAACCAAAAGTTGATCGGACAAAAAAAACCTAAATATCCATAGAAGTCGGATCGAGACCCATGAAAACTTTGTAGAGCCGTCTACTAGCAGCAGGGCCAATCCGTGCGCTAGTCAAGGAACCATTCTTATTTGCGGATTTCTACATTCGTTAGCGGGTTCGATTTTGGAAGCTCAAGCCCAGAGAGCCTGAAGATGCATTTCTGGAACATACCTTGATATCCTCCAACATCATGGCGCCATGTATCCGCATGCCACGCGCCAAATTCGTGGCACAGGGATACTCCCCTACAATGCCATATGCCATGGGTGCCGTGACACGGTTCACCTCCTGGAGCATCTTGATAAAGGTATCGTCCTTATCAACGCCGGTCTTCACTTGGCCTGTATCCATACAAAATGCTGCATTGTGAGCCTCCTGGCGTTCACGGCGATACGGCACAGTCGATATATGCTCTGTGAAATTCTTGATCCATTCCGCAGATTCTGATGGTGTTGCTGTATGATGAATGAGGCAGGAATGGGCAACTTGCAACTGAAGCAGGGCATCTTCAACAGTCTCATCGTCAATGATAGGCGCATCGGGCTTTTTCTTCGGCTTTTTGGCTTTGCGACTCGCTTCCGCCTCTGGCACAGATTCGGCCATTTGGCGAAGGACTTCGGCTTGGAAAGCTCTGTTGCGGGCGTTGGTGCTCTTCCGCATAAGAGCCGTCAGGCCCTCGATGAGATAAATAGGCTTGCAATTCGGATAGGCGGATTTGAGTTTCAAAACGTGAGCTTCGAGGGTCTGCCTTTCTTCGCCATCAGGTGGCGGAGCTACCAGATTGATGAATTCCTGTGCTGGTACGAGGCATAAGAGATGATTTTCGGTTTGGATGAAAGATGGACACGGCTCCCAGTGACGGAGGGTTTGGTTGTAAGTGGCATTCATTTTTCGGCGCCATTTGACAACGTTGGGGATGTCGCTTGCGAAAAATGCATGCTGGACACCGAGGCGTTTCATGAATTCAATGGTCTGGGTTCCCACACTGCTGTCCTCTATGGATGTAGCAATGTCGATGATCATCTCGGGGGTCGAGTCCTTTTTGTTCACCTTCAGCTTGTTCACGCTCGCTATATCAGCAGCCCGTTGCTTCTCCTTCGCCTTCTCTTCCTTGAGTTTGAGTTTCCGCTCTTTTTCTAATTCCCGCTCTCGCTCTTTTTGTAGTTTAGCCTCTTCCCTAGCTTTGGCTTTGGCTTCCTTGGTTGCAGGATCAATCTTGCTCGACTTCTTGGCTGCTTTCCGGGGAGCTGAGGGTTCATCCAGATCGTCATCCGAGAGGAATTCCGCAGCTATGGCATGAATGCTAGAAGCCTTTGGTTTCTGACTGCCAGATGCTGCTTTGGAGCCCTTGGAGCGAGAGGAACCGTTTTCCTCTTGCTGAAGACGAGCCAGTAGGCGTGCTGTCGTCTCTGAAAAGATCTGATTCGAAGAAGCATTTTCTGGCGGAGGTTTCGTCGCTAGCTCAACGAACTCCGGTAGCGCAAAAGGGTCACTGAATTCCTCAATATCGCTTCGGCCTCGTAAGCTTGAGTGTGGAGGTTTGTCCATATCCATGAAATCGTCATCGTCGTCGAGCTCAAGTACATCCAATTTGGAGGAGTTTGGCTTGCGCAAAGCGCTTGTTTTCGGCAGGGGCACTGGTGCGGGGGAGGTGAAGACTATAGGATCCGACTCCTCCACACGCAACTGGTTTGGTTTTTTGACTGCGTTCCCATTTGCAGGCGGCAAGTCGAAGTCATCGTCGGAGATTGAAAACCAGGCCTCTGTCGTAGCGATTGGTGCTTTCGGGGCTGTTTTGCTTTTTGATGCAAGGCCTTGCTTTTCTCCTCCCAAACCTTCGTCACTCAGTCTCCTTCTTTTGGCGGGTTTGTCAAAGTCATAATCGAACAGCGATGTCTCAAATGGGTCAGAGGAAGGCGGAATGCCGTGGGTTGGTCGTGCAGAGGGAAGCTCTGGTTCGGTCACTTGCGGCACCGGCTGCTCTGGTTCCGGGGGATCAGAGGATACGAGATCAATGATGTCGGGCATTTCGGATCCCAATGCCACTAGGGCGACTAGGGCAGGAATAGGGAAAGATTGCAAGAGAACGCGACGTCACCGCGTACGAAAACACGAGGTCATGTGATGGAGTTTGTTGTGTTTGTCTTTGTAAATGGGCTAGCTGAAGATGGGTTAAGGAGATGTCAAGTCAAGCAAGGCAAAGTTGCAGAATATGTAGTATTATATTGATTACATCGCTCGGAATAATACTGCAGCAATCGCTATGAAGATAGCCCCAAGAACAGCCAAAATAGTAAATACTTGCTGCCATCCATTGAACGGCCTTCTCTCAGCCTTGAGCATGATAGAAATCTCTTCCTCCAGCCTATCCCCCATTGCGGTGAGGGAAAAGTGCTGCTGGGCCCTCTCTTTGCCTGCAGCAGCAATGCGCTCAATATTTTTCTGCCCCAATCCGTAAAGGACCTTATCCATTACGGCAGTCCACTCATCGTCGGCATGTGCGTCCCGGAGCCAGCCCGTTTCGCCCTCGACAATTGTTTCCAGCGGGCCTCCAGTATTTGATGCCAATACCGGTAGACCAACCCGCATCGCCTCGACTGGTACAATGCCAAAGTGTTCATTGATGGGGGTATAGAGAAGAAGCTTGGATTGGGCAAGCAAAGTATCCTTGAATGCAGTAGGCACCGATAAAAGGAAAAGAACATCGATAGAGTCAGGGAGTGAAAGTGCAGAGACGACTGTCTTAGAGGTCGCAGTCTCCATTCCAAGTCCAGTGGCAAGTTTGTCCAACTCTTGGTGATATTGAACGTTTTCCGGTACACGATTGTCGTAACCGCCTATTTCAGATAAGTCAGAGCGATACACCATCAGCAAGAAACATGACTTACCAGCAATCACCAGTCGCGTCCCCCTCCTTTTCTCTGCCCCGAGTCCATGATAGGCGCGAATGGCCAACGCCATATCCTTCTTGCGCTCGAAGCGATTTATGCTCAAGAGAATCTTCTTCCCACCCCACAGAGGAGCGTCGTCTGTTTTGGCAGGTAATGTCCCCGCATCCATATCAACACATGGGTAAACCACTTCGACATCACCCAATCGATCCGAGCCAAAGACACCACGGACGACACCACGGGAGAACTTCGAATTGGCAACGACCCGATCCGACGCACTCATCGCCCAACCTTCAAACCAATCAAATGGGAACCGGTAAAGCATCTTCGCTAAACGAAGTAGCGAGCCGCCCTCATCTCGGCGCGCAAGTAACTGATCCGGAAAATGGCAGTAGAACAGAATGCGCTGGAGTCGGGACTTGCGCGGGCGGCCGAAGGACTTTAAGAACGGTACGCAGGCAGATAGTTGGTCCACAATGAATATCTCGTCTCGGTCGTCGGCCTTTTCTGTGGTTGAACCGAGCTCGCTGAGTAGGGAGACTGTCAGGTGGAGCTGGCGCAGTGCTGCCATGAGAATGTGCAACCGGCCACAGACATGGGCAGGGAATATTGTGTTTCCGCGCACGCGGACGTCCAGCGTACCATCGCGTGCTTCGTCGAAACAGTGTGATTTATCGCGGTGGGAGGTGTAGATCGTCACGCGGTGGCCTCGGTTCTGTAGGGCTAGAGCGACGTCGATGATTAGTCGCTCTGCGCCACCGATACCCAGGTCTGGGTGTATTATGGTCACATTGGAGCGCTGGAGGCTCATCTTGAGTGTTTGAGTTGTTGGCATCTGGACGGAGCTGCGTAGCTTAGCTATGAAGACACGTGGGGTATACGCGTCATGTGATGCGAGCATCTATAAAATTGTTGAACAGGGAGTGTTAGTTTGTTTCGCTAGCAATCATTGGTTTAAACCTCACATAAAATAGTACATTTTAAATTTTGTAGAGTCCAAGAAGCTACCAGAGATTCATGACCAGGAGAGGAAAGCTTGCCCTCTTCAGAGGCAGGTATTCCTCGCTACGTCATACGTCTAAAGCTGCGCTCTGGTTATAGACCGCGTCAGTACTGGTTGGTAGAAGAGATAGAGTTCTTCTTCATCTTGGTCGCAAGAACTGGATGAGCGTTGGAAGGAGTGGGAGGAACTTGATCGCCCAGGAAGAAGTGGAAATGGAAGTTGGAATACAATAACATTGAACCGACAGCTACAAGGGGGCAGGTCCATACTACACACAGTGGCAGTAGAAGGGCTCGCCATATGAAATCGAATAGAATAAACTTGAAAAAACCAGATTCCCGCCCAGCGTAACGTCAATCAATCAATCTAGACAGCCGACGGTTTGTACAGGATTCATATCGAGAAGAAAAAAGATCCAGACATGAGATTATCATGAGTAGAATGAGGCGAAAATATGTGGGGTAAAGTAGAGACATTTGTGAGGGGGTTATAGCACAAGGTGTTGGCGTTGATGTTCGAAATGTTGACAGGGGTGGACGTGAAATCTCATAATACAGGGCAATTGGGCAAAGGGGTATGGAACAGGGTAAGAGAAAAAAAAAAGTGTCACAGAAAATGGAAAGGGGTAGAAAGGAAGAAGAAAAATTAACGGAAACAAAAAAGGTTCAAGAAGTACAAGGAAGAACGTGGCAAAAGACGACAAAATCGCTTTTCATGGGCCAAAGCTCGAGCCTAGAAGCAGTTCAGAGTACTCTTCTTCTTCTTCTTGTTGAGGGCAAGCATGCGTTCTTCGAGCTGAGCACGAGCAGCTTCAGCCTCGCGACGAGCGTTACGCTCTTCTTCAACAGCTTGAAGGGAAAGGCGAGCAGAGCTGCGCTCCTTTTTGAGAGAGTTGAGCTCGTCCTCAAAGCCCCAGGCTTTCTTCTTCCAGGCATCGCAGTCGCTCTTGACTTTAGTACTTTGCGCCTCGAGGTCACCGAGGGCCTCTTCCAAGGTGGCGGTAAGCTGCTTCTCGGCATAGAGATGCTTCTCGATAGTTCGGATGCGGGCTTCTTGGTCTTCAGCCACCTGGGCGTTGACGATCTCCTTGCTGGTGTGGCGGGAGCTAGGCGGGGAGACGCTTGATGAACCGTTGGATTGGGCAATGGTTGGGAGAGGTGGAAGTGGGATCGCCGGTGGGGGCGATGGGAGGGATGCAGCCGATGAGCTCTTACGGAGGTTTGATGTAAGAGAGCCGCTGCGGTCGTGGGCGCCTTCAGATGCGCCGGTGCCGGTGTTCTTGATCTGGAGCTCCAGCTGTTCGATGCGGACTTGATAGGTTTCAATATCCCCTTCGTAGATGACGATTTTGGCCTTTGCATCCTCCAAGGCCTGGTCGCGTTCTTGCTGGATGACAGACAGACGGTTGTGGTGCTGGTCAAAGCTGCTAGTGATCTGTTCCTCCAGCTCTTCGACGAGGCGTACGCTCTTCTGTTTCTCAATGGTGATCTCCTCGACCAAGGCTTCCTTCTTCTTAACCTGCTCATCCTTTTGGCGAAGAGTGTCCTCCAATGTAGCCACCAAGAGAGCCAGCTCATTAACCTTGGCGTCCTGGACACTGGCTTTCTTGGCAAACTCTTCCAGGCGGCTGTCAGATTCACCATTGGCTTCAATCCGCTTGCGAAGATCCTCATTGGTGTCCAAAAGCTCAGCATACTTGTCAGAGAAGTTCTGCTTCTGAGCCAAAACATCCTTGATCTGTTCTGTCAAGGTCTCGGCAGAAACCTCGGAATTCAAAATGGTGGACACTGCCTGGAGTAGCTTTACCAATTCATCACGAGACTCCGCAATATCCTTCCGCAAGATGGCCATGGATTGTTCATGCTCGGCATCCTTCTCAGCATCACGCGCATCGTGATCAGCCTGGACTGCGGCCCTGGTACGTTCCTCTAGCTCGGCCATTTCACGCTTGTGGGATTCCTGAAGGGCGTCTAGCTCATCTTGGCGGGAGCCAAGAGCGGACTTATGGGTGGAGATCTCCTGCTCAAGCTCAGAGACCTTGGAAGTCAGACCCAAGTCAACCGCACCAGCATTGGTTGCCTCCTCGGTGGTGGTTTGGGCAGCCAGTTCTCCTCGGGCATCAGAGTGAGATTTCTCCAGACCAGCAATGGTTGCAAGCTGAGTAGCAATCGTAGCCTTGTGTCCTTCGATGTCCTTCTTCAAGCTTTCCACAAGATCTTGCTGTTCAGCACGACCACCTTCAAGCTCTCGAGCTGTGGTCTCCTTGTCGACAGACTCGCCGCCGGCGACCGCTCGCTCAGATCTCATGGCCTCAACAGAGGCCAAAGCGCTCTCTAACTCAGCAAGGGTCGTCGTCAACTGCGTCTCGGAGGACCGAAGCGAGACCAAGGCGCTCTGGTGCTTGTCTTGCCATTCAGTGAGCTCGCCCTGGAGGGCACCGATCTTCTTGTCTTGCTCCTCGGCGCCGGCATCCATCGCCCGGGTAGCACTCTCCTGGGACTTCAAGAGGCCCTTCAAGGTCTCAATCTCATCCATCAACTCCTTTTGACGGTCCTCATGAGCCTGGTGAAGTTGGTTAATCTGCACCTCCTGGGAAACGACCTGGTCGCGCAGCTGAGACACCAGAGCCATATCCACGGGCGAGGCGCCTGTCAAACTAGACCGCTCTCTGGTCAACCCAGAGATAATCGTAGCTTTCATCTCCATTTCCTTCTTGACGCCCTGGTTCTCAGCTTCAAGGGATTGGAGACGCTCCATACGGCTTTGCAGCTCGTGCATGGTTTGATCCAAGTGGTAATCGAAGTTGTGCATGGCATCTGGCTTCTCGGCAAACTCCTCAGTCGCAATGAGTCTCAGACCGGTCAGCGCGCGAGCGGCGCGGTCCACGCCAGAAAGCAGGTTCTGGCTGGTCACGCGACGAATCATCTTGAAACCGGGAGTCGAGGGTGGAGAGCTCGACTTGGCACGCTGAGCTTCGGCCTTCAGCTTCTCGACCAGGACAAGAATCTCCTCGTGCTCAGTCTGCAACTCGTTGTACTTCTGAGTCATCAGTTCAGCGCTCTCTTGGTGCTCAGCAAGCATCTTGCGCATGCTCTCTGACTCCTCGGGGTCCACATGGCCTGTGGGCATCACCTGCGGAGTCGAAGGAGCGGATGAAATTGCCTTTGATCCGTCCTCAGAGGACTCGCGCAAGGTAGATGGTTCCCCGGCCGAGGATAATTCCGAGGAGAGTGATTGCGAGAATGAATGTTGTACTCCAGACTTCGAGATTGGAGTACCTCCGTTCTCTAAAAAAGACACAGGACGTGGTGAAGGCTCGTTTTGGAGGTGTTCTGAGTGGCGGGCTTCATCAATCTTGTCTTGGCGAAGCTCGGCGATGGCTTTGAGGGCCTGCTCATACTTGGACTCGAGAATTTCGAAATCGCTCATGGTGTTCTCATGCTGCAAGCGCAGATCAAAAAGCTCCTGGGTGACGGTCTCCAGCTTGTCGGCCACGAATTTGGACTGCGCAGGGCTGGAGATAGGATCCTCGTAGGCAGCCTCAGAGCGACGAGCGTCCAGCCGGTTGGTCGCAAATTCAAGAACCTTCAGGTCCTCGCCAGCAACATCAGTGTCTGAGTCTGAACGGACAGAAGCTTCGTCTTCGACCTCCATGATTGGCCCAACGAGATCCTCATCTGACTCTGGGATGGCTGTCTCAACTGCCTCGTTGAGAACATCCAATGAAGGTGTGTGCTTGTGAATAGATCCCACGCCTCTGGTGTGTTGGTGCTGCGCATGGTTCCCGTTAACATCCGACGCACCATGATGATCTAGCTGGCTGAGAAGAGTGTCTAGTTGACCAAGGCCTCGCTGGCGTTCAATGACATGTTCCAATCGCATCACTTCACGTTGCATCATTTCCATATCCTGGTCACCATCGGCGAGTCGTTCCTCAAGAGTAGAAATGTACTCCTCGCAGCTAGCCTCGCTATCGCGGGCACGGCTGAGTTCCTTGCGGAGCTCGGCGACTATCGCAGCATGCTTCTCTTCGCCGCCAGAGTGCCCATCGAGTCTGGACTCAAGCTCGTGGAGATAACTCTCAGTGCTGGCTTCCCTGTCAAGTAGCTTTTGAACGCGAGACTGGAGTTGTTCTCTCACACTCTCGACGTAGGCACACTTGGTCTCCCGCTCGAGCAAATCGCTTTCGGTGGCGGACAGGGAGGAGCGAGTGTCAGAAAGCGATGCCTCTAGGCTCTGGATGGTCTTCTCGTACTCCAGCACCATCTGTTCCACAGACTCGGCGAAAGACTTGGACCGTTGCATTCTCTCCACCGAGCTCTTTCCAATCTCCGAGGTAGCGTCATCCATCTCGCCGTTGGTGGGCGATTCCGAGTCAGTGGCCATGGTTGAGATTAGCTTAGCATGGCGTTGGCTAAGGGAGTTGTAGCTCTCTTGAACATCCAACAGCTGGTTCTGAAGATGCTTTTCACGCTCGTGCTTGCGTTCGCTCCGGTCGTTATATCCAGCCTCCCTTCGTTCGGCCCCTTCACTGTTGCGAATCTGCTGGCGCAAGAAGGCCACTTCGGCCTTGAGTCGGTCAATGAGTGCTTGTTTATCACCATCATCGGAGGTTTGTTGAATGCGGGGCTTGCTCTGGATCTTCCTGGCCCGCTGGGCATACTCGAGAGTATTCAGAGTCTCGCTCAGGTGGAACTCTGCCGGGGTCACACAGGCAATCATGTAGGTGTATGCGTTCCCACCCAGGGAATCCTGAAGAAGTCGGGTAAGTTTGGAATCACGGTATGAAACGTGGGAACCGTGGTGCTTGGAAAGCTGCGAAATGACCTTCCCAAGGGCGGCAAGGCCTGCGTTAATAGATATTCCCTCCTTCGCGCGTTCACCCGACGCTCCGGTGTTTTTCAACCGTTCGCTGCCTGCCAGATCGACGAAGTGGAGCTTGCTGTCCACAGTCACTGAGTCACCGGAGTTGAAGGAATCAGCGGGCATAGACATGCGCTTCTCCTTTGGTGTGGGGGTTGCTGGTGCTCCAGTGGCTTTGCGTTGGACCAGATTCAAACTGAAGACGGCGTGCGACCGGGATGATTTGGCGTTGATCGCGGTGGAATCTGTCTGTCGGATGGCGGAGCCGAAGTTCAACACGCCGATCAGATCGTCGAATGAATTGATCTCGACCTGGTGCAGGCCAGTCAAGATGATGCGACCCTTGGTGTCTTCTCGGATTGTAACGTTGCTCCGGTCACTGGCTGGGGTGGAATCTGGGAGCAGCAAATCTCTCAAATGCTCGTTGTAAATCTGTACTCGTCAGATAAGGTCAATGGGTATGAAGGCACCGGGGTCCAAAGCGCACCTCGACATAGGTAGCTTTCAGCTGCCAGGTCTTCTCTTTTTCTGGTTGTTGTTTTCCGAAGCTTGCGGCCGAGCTCATGGAGTATCGCTGGGGTGTACGCAGGCCGGTGGCTGTCGAGCTATTTCTGTTGTGTTTAGGGGGGCTGTCTAATTTATCGAACAAGACCTGGGCCGCTCGGGGGATAATACCTAAATAAACACCGCGGTCAATCCTTGCTGGGAAACAAGGGGATTTAAAACTCACCCATATTCTGCGCAATCTTCTGCTCATTGGGACCCGAGGTGCCCATGGTGAAGGACTTTCCAGCACCGGACTGGCCATATGCCATGATGGAGACATTGTATCCTTGAATGAATGAGTTGAGACTGTCGCTCACGTATTCCCAAATGCCCTCCTGCTCGGTTGTTTCGGGGAAAATGCGGTCAAAGGTAAACCACTTTTGGGCATTGGGCACATCAACGGACAGATTATTGGAGTCGACAGTTTGGACCATCGAACGTTGGAATCGCTGGGGAACCAAATCGTAGCCGGGGTCGGTGGGTTTCAGTGGTGGTCGTACACGGACAGCTGCGCGAGGTCAATGAACTGTATTTAGTTGCGGTCTGGGTGGACACATACCGACTTTGACTGCAGTCTTGCCAACCTCATCTGATGCACGACTCCCTTGTCTGCTGCTCATGCTTAGGCGACTGGTACTGCGTGGAGTGCGCATGACAGCACTGATGGGCCGCGGGGTCGCGCCCGTCGGCGACGCTGGCGGTGAGGCAGTCATTCTAACCACGCCAGGTGGACTAGAAGTTCAGGAATTCAAAAGCACCGAGAGTTGGTAGTCATGAGGCGCCAGGGAGATGTCTAGCAACAAAGCGTCAACAACAATCCCCAAAGGCAAACAAAAATAAAAATACAAAAATAAAAAGTGTCGAAACACGTACCTGCAGTACTCCAGCACAATGTAACGATGGAAAGTAGGGAGGTGGAATAATAAGAAGAGAGAAACTGGACGTGCACCGCCTGAAAGGGGTTTAGCGTTGGGAGATTAAGATGAAGATGCTTTGGACCCAAGCGAGGGCCGTGGGTGGTTCAGGGGCACTTTGCTTATTGCTTATTGCACGATACTACGGAGTAGACATCTGTTCTTTGACAGGCAAGTCAATTTCACCTGTATGAAATCCTCCGTACTTTCTCTTCACTTCGTCGGCCTCCAATACTGTAGTCCTGGGCGACATCCCTTAACTGCCACACATGGTTCAATAGTGTCTTGCCTTACCTCTTGTCCGCCCATCCAGACTATGGCAACTATTCCATGCGCTAGATACCCTCGACGGTCTCCACTCTGCTAAGAACACGTTCGTTTCACCTCGTCCGTTTAGGCTCAGCGTGTATCTACCCTGCATCCTTGTATAGTACCTGGTTCTCCGCGCCAACCCAAGGCTGAACGGCAAAATCCCCCGTTCACAGTCCATGGACGGTGTACACAGGTGTCGATCGCCGCGCACTCACTTCCACTTAAAGCCTAACTTATGGTCAAAGACGGCCCAGTCGGACCAATCTAGTAAAACCTCCTAGTGCCGAGACTCCACATCCACTGACCGCGATCGGGGTCTAGAGCTGGGACGATGTGATTCTTGACGTTGGACATGATAGGGGATGGCAGGGGGTGACCTGAAAGTCGGGTTATTGCGCCGGACTTACCTAGGTATGGATGCACTGAATATTGAACCATAAGCTCGGGGGAAATTGCACTCAAAATTCAGAACCTCGAATGTCAGATTTCGGTCTGCCTTTTTGACTTTGCAGTTTAATCTCGGCCAGGTCCACTCCTAGGCAGGGGGACCGTTGAAGGATCGACGATGTCTTTGTTTAAACCTGAGCGTATACTGTAAACGGAGTACTCCTTACAATCCACAATCTACATAGTTACCAGTACCGAGTAGGTAGCTTTCGTACTGCATTCCAAAGTACCGAATGTATTGGTTCTAGAAACATTTGGGCATTCTTGCAATGCCGAGTTGCGACCGGGTAGTTCGCATAGGGCGAGAAAATCTCCGTCATCTGCCGGAAAACACTGGATCTCGCCCTACGACTCCAGTCCTCGGATGATGCTTCATTCTTCAGAATCTTTCATTTCCTTGTAACTATTAACCCTGTGGACAGGCATAATGTCTCTCACTCATCCATGACTCGTGCCATCATGTCTCACATTAGAGGTTGGCCCCGGTACTCCATATGCCCCTTTACTCCGTACTCCGTGCAGTCCTTTGGAATGTCAAGTTCCAGAATCGGTCTAGACCTTGGAAATCAGCCTCAAAGTCCAAAGTACGACTCAACGTGATCGTTTCGCTGATGTACGAATTGCTAGGACCCACGTTAATTCCGGGTTAATATCCCACGAGCAAGCCATTTCAGGAACACCCGCACTGATAACTATAGCCCGACCTATCAAGACCCCATCAATGATTTATCAAAGATATAACCATAGACTCAGTGCCGGTATCAGGAGTGCCAGTACTTGATGCAACTCCCATCATGTTGGCAATAATGCCGACACTCGGAAATATGAAGCACAAATATATATACCAAGCTTGCGGACGTGAGTTGAGTTCGTCGGGTTGGAACTCTAGCCCTGGAGTAGATCCACGGCATGTCGTGGCAGACTTCCTGAGTTCGTCACATTGCCTGCGTCTTCCAAGGTTCCAAAGTTGGAAGTACGAATAATGATATCACTTCCCCATTGAGCAGCGGCGCAAAACCACCGACTCTTTTACTACTAGGTAGATGGCTCCATCTTTCTTCAAATGTCGGCTTCTAACTTCATTACACGAATCATGTTTTCGTCGTCCACAAAACCGTCTAACAGCTCCCCTCTGGTGAACGAGATCCACCCAGACCAGATACCAACCGAATCCGCTGCTATATCATGCGGATCCTCACCCGAAGAACCGAAACCAATTGCAGCAGCCTCCGACTTGGAATATCCAGAGGATCCAACAGCTGTCGACCTGTTAGTAAAGGAGATGACTTCCCACATTCAACATGGACGCGTGAAAGACATGGTGCTACTGTTCATTTTGTTCTGCCGCCCCGGGGATTGGAAAAGCGAAAAAATGCCACAATTCAGACACCATCTAATAGGATACTACGAAAACGATATCAACCCACTGTTGGAACGGTGGTTTTCGGAAATCATCCAATTCGAGTGGGAAGCTGCACTGTTTACTGACCAGCTCGTTGGCCTATTTGAACTTCCGCTGCCGAACGACCAGATTTGCATCATCTGGAAGTCAGGTGTCCGAGGTCGTGAATCTGTTTGGAACTCTAACTGGCTTGAGGATTCAATGTGTATGAATCTTTATGAGAATTTCCATCTCCCATGCCAGTTTAGATCATTCTGGAGGCCTCAAGCTTACCTCACAGCTGCAATTCTCAAAACCAAAAAGTCTTCCAGTGAGATAAACGAACTGATCGCATCGATTGGGAACTTCATCCAACAGGTAAGGACGTTCGTCCCGGGGTCACCGGACAACGAGAACATACCAGACTGGGTTCAAGAGTGGCTGGCGACCGACGCTGGCCGCAAGGCGAATGTCAGACTTCGTTCACTGCATATACAGCCCGTTGTTCTCTATTGACATGATGATTCTTCCCTCTTTCCAAAGTTTCCCAGCAGCCATTGGAGCAGCCATATGAAAGCTGGAATCATCTTAGGAAGACGTCCGGGCAACAGGAGGCATCCGCTCATACTTGATTCTCGTCGTATGCCAGTCGAGATATATTCGAAAACTATCTAGACATGCGGGTCCACGGGTATAACTTGGAAGCGAGGTCACAGGGTTCATGTCCCGAGGTCGCTGTTTACATTTACATACTCTGTTATACCTAGGTATGCACCCCTGGCCCCCGTGCCACGGGGTGGAGTATAAGCTGAAAACAAGGTTGGAATTAGCCACATCAGGCCTCGAGACAGACTATTATGAACATCTGGGTATCGCTATCATCATTCATTCAATATTATCAATAGCAACCTTCAATATTCTACATCATGGGAAATACCTCCATTCAGGGCTCTTTTCACCGTCTTTGAAACGGCTGGTATCAATCTGATTGTCGCTCAGTTCAAGTCCCTGTTTCTGGTCCCGACGGTGATTCTCTATGCGCATCCAGCTGCCAAGCCCCAAAACAAGAACAATGCAGACCGCATTACAGCAGCATGTGGCAATGAGGGTTGGAAGATATCTGTCAAGTCAGCATGCTTTCCCAGTTGATGGAGTCCAGTACAAGTTTCTCACTTTGGGGCATATTGAGTGCGAAATGTTCCGGCACTGAGAATACCTGCCAGATTTCCAAGTCCCACAAAGAACCCGGTGTTTGCTGCCCGTGAGTTCTCGTGAACATTGTTGTTATTATGCCACGCGTGCACTAGACAAGATGGGATGTAAGATCCTGCGGCCATGAGGAAGCAGGCAAAATATGCGACGCCTTTATTACCCTCGACGTTGATGGTGGCCAATACGATCATTCCGATCAACGAAACTGTTAATGAGAAAACGATGTGAAAGGTTCTCTCGCGAAAGTAGTCGGATGATTTGGCCACGCATAGCAGGAATACTGCACCAACAAGATTAGGAGCAACCGTCCAAAGATTGGTCTTAACGACCGAATAACCCAATCGCTGTACAATCTGAAATGATCAGTGTTGTTCCTTGCATGGGACCCTTGACTTACTAGTGGGAAAAAGTTCATCGCAGTGGCGTATGCAACGGGATACGTGAATGTGATCAAGCACCACACCGGGAATTTCCAATCATTCCATGTCTCGAAACATGCTTTCAAGTCAAATCCAGTATCAACCTCTGATGAAGTGTCGCGAAGAAGACGTGCGTTAGCTGCCAATTTCTCCCTTTCGTTCAAGAACCAAGCTTTGGGTGCACTGTCTGGCAGCAGAAAGAAACCAAAAACCCCGGTTACCAAAGTCATTGACCCCTCAATGATGAATAGCCATTGCCACCCTTTGACCGCTGGATCATTGATTTGGAATACTCCAAATGATATCAGCCCGCTGAAGGCAGATGCCAAAACGGCAAACGACTGCATGATGGCTAATCGGAAGCCCATTTCTCCCCGCGTATAGAATAACGTGAGGTAAAAGGTCGCGCCCGCGAAGAACCCGGCTTCGAAGACGCCCAGTATAATTCTGATCGCTAGGAGGGACCCGAAGTCCTTGGTGGCACATTGACATAGAGCAAGAACCCCCCAAACAATGGACACTGATGGAAATATGAGTGAGAGTAACACGCGAAGAAGATGAGAGAGGGTTCTTACTGAATGACAGCATCAGTCGGCCTGAGAACCGCTTTATCAAAAGATTCCATGGCAAATCAAAAAGGCCAAATGGAATATAGAAGAGAAGAATCAACAGGGAGTAATCATTCCCCTTGAGATCCAGATCTTTGTCTAGCCCATCTGTTTTGGCATTTGCCAGATTACTCTGCGATGGTCAGCATTGACTGCCCGTCGGGAATGGAGATGGGGGCACCAACTCTGTCCATACAGTCGAAAAAGTACATCTACAAACAGAAGCAAAGTCAGCGAGGAGAGCACTCGAAAATCTTTCAGTCTGGCAAATCAACTCACCAAGCAAAGCAGTGGGAGCACAATGAAATCTATTTTCTTGACATAGGACTTCTCTGCCTCGGGATCAAGATACGTGCTTTCGCCCATGTTTACTTCAGGATCGGGCATTTCAGCCCTGGTCACTTTGGACTCAGCCATGGAGATACTACGATCAAGAGTTCCTACGATTCTAACAGATGTCGTGGCTCTTTTAAGGTCTCACAACCCTTCTCACATTCCAACCCCCTTGCAGTACTCTCATGTCACACAGCAGTGTGGTTCTGGCAGTTGTGAAAGATATGGCCAAGCCTCCTATCTACAGATACACTGACATGGCTCTAGTTTTGATATCCCCCGCACGATCTTATCAAAGCGGGACGAAGCGTTGCCCCCACTTTTGCATCATCCCTGTCCCTGACCCCATTCATGCCCGCCCAGGCGAAGCCCCCGTGGCTCGGCATCGCAGAGCCAACATCTCGAATTCTCCAACGCAGCCCGGGGTTCTTTGCGAGGTCAAAAATCCGTTGAGCTAATCTTGCTCGGCCTAGAAGCAATATATTCAAGCGATCTGGAGATCCCGTCTCTTCCAAGTCCCATCCATTGACAGCTCCCTTGCGAATACTCCGTACCATATTAGCCTATCGACTTGCAATACACCATGTCTGCTCCTTCGGCTCCCCCAATCTTGGACTTCTCTTCGTTTTACACTGGCGACAGCGACGCAAAGTCCAAATTGATCGAGGAAGTTCGCAAATGCTGCCACTACAATGGCTTTTTCCAGATCACCGGCCACCGTGTGTCGGCGGATCTGCAGCGGCGCGTGATGGAGTGCTCAAAACGCTTTTTTGATTTACCGCTGGACGAGAAATTGCAGATCGACAAAAGTAAGGTGTCTGACCCAATCCAACGGCCACTGCTAATGAGACAGATCGCAACTCCTTCAACAGAGGCTACGAACTCCTCCGGTCGCAAATGTTGGAGGTGGGCACCGGCCCCGAGCTCAAGGAGGGTCTGTACATTGGAGAGGAAATACCTGAAGACCATCCATACTTCTTGGAAAAGAAGCTGAACAGCGGTCCGAATCAGTGGCCACAAACCGTTTCAGACAAGAACGAGTTCCAGGAGACAACAATGGAATACTACCACGCAGTATTCGAGTTGGCCAAAGATGTCTTGGGTGTTCTTGCTCAGACATTGGGGGTCGAGTCGACCTTTTTCGAGCCCCTCACCGATGGGGCCGTCGCCACAATGAGATATCTGCATTATCCAGCCCAGCCAGAGGATACGGACGAGAAGCTCAACCGGGGAATCGGAGCTCATACCGACTTTGGATGCATCACTCTCCTGCTACAGGATGAAGTGGATGGGCTTCAAGTCTTGGACGCGCCGACGGGCCAATGGCTTGATGTAAGTGTTCAACGATGCAACCTCTTATGAATGTGAACTCAAAAGCCCCAAAAACAGGTCAAGCCAGTTCCAGGTGCCTACGTCGTGAATCTGGGTAACCTCTTCATGCGCATGGCAAACGACAAGTACAAATCGAACACCCATCGTGTGATCAACAAGTCAGGCCGCGAAAGATACTCAATCCCCTTCTTCTTCAGCGGAAACCCCGATTACGTTTGCGAGTGTCTACCAAACTGCCGTGAGGAGGGGGAGTCGGCCAAGTATGGTCCCATTACGGTGCAGGACATGGTGACGGCTTCTTACAAGGAGAGCTATGGGCGGGCCGAGAGCTACAAAAAGGAGATGAAGTCTACGAAGCCAGATCTTCTGTCTGCCACTCCTATAGTTGCTGCTGTTAGTGCATAGATTTAGCTTACTCCAATCAAGCTCAGTATGTCTTTTTGCAACTAGATGCCATCTTGGTCTGGAATAATTGAGCCTTGTGCAAAGATTCAACATAAACCGTTTAAGGACAAAGCTCCAGACAGCGCAACCAAGACAGCAAAACAGTTGGTCTAAGTTAGGCTGATCGGGATTCGAGAAAAGGGCCAGCTTGGTCTTGTGTCAATACGGGCCATGTCCACCTGGGCAACAGAGATGATGTCACAGACTCAAATCCCCAGAGTATTTCGCTCACCAAAAGTGGGATGGCATATCATCTCTCCTCCCACTTTTGAATAAATCTATGGCTTTCGTGTTTTGAAGGGATAACGGAAGTACGCTGACCAGCTACTCGTAGCCCTAAAAACGACACCCATTTGAACCACCCTGTCTGCAATGGAAGTCATTATTTCCACAACAACCGAACGATTTCGCTATGGACGAGATTCGAGACAGCAAGAAAAATGCTACGGCACCAGATCTTCAGGTACTGGATGAAGATACTGGGAAGTATGCGACTATTGATGATATCGAAGTCGATACATTCTACGGCTCTTCTACGACCAGGGCATATCGAATGAAATCTGAACTTGTCGGGAAGTGCATGGAAGAAATCGGGATGGGCTGGTACCTCTTCCCTCACTTACACTGCTTGGAAATGGCGTTAACTTTATCAGGTTCCAATGGAAGCTTTTTGTGGTGACTGGCTTCGGATGGATAGTCGACAATGTATGAATATTCACCCCCCCCCCCGTTCAAGATACAGAAGACTAAAGCATCAACAGTTTGCTTCTCAAGGCATTGGAAGTGTCCAGCCACCAATAAAGCAAGAGTTCTCCGGCATCGTGCAAGTCAGCTACAGTTCTGTTGCCTACTACGTTGGCCTGATCTTGGGTGCCTCATTCTGGGGCCTGTCTAGCGACCTCGTCGGGCGCAAGCCGGCATTCAACTGCACTTTGCTCATCGCCGGGATTTTCCTTTGCGCTGCTGCGGGCTCAATGAATTTTGTTGCTTTCAGTGCACTCTGGGCTGTAATTGGTACCGCCGCTGGGGGGAATGTCCCCGTTGACTGTATGATATTTTTGGAGTTCGTGCCGGGGAGGTAAGAGATACGCAGTAACTTAATGCTAAGCGGTTGCTGACATCTACAGTCATCAATACCTACTCACTGCACTTTCAGCGTGGTGGAACTTGAGTCAACTCATTGTTTCCTTGGTTGCATGGGTCTTCCTGGCCAACTTCAGTTGCCCAACTGACGCCACCCCGGAGACATGTTCCCGGAGCAATAACATGGGATGGTAAGCGGCAGTTGATGATCTTGGAAAGGTTTGGTTTCTAATGCTGACACGAATTCTCAGGAGATACACTCTCATTACCCTTGGAGGCCTTGCTCTGGCATTCACTTTCATTCGCATATTCGTCTTCAAGCTCCCTGAAACGCCTCGATATCTACTCTCTCAGGGAAGAGATGAAGATGCCGTCAACGCCGTCAACCATGTTGCTCGACAGAACGGAAAGCCCGAGCCATTGACAATTGGAATGCTCCGTGATATAGATGCCCGGCTGGGTAATCAAACCGACGGCGAGGCAGGCGCAACGCGCATGTCCACCAAGGAAATAGTGAAAGAGAATATGCAGGCATTCCGGGGCGAACATTATCGCGCATTGTTCGCGACTCGGGAACTAGGGAGACAGACGCTTATCATTTGGCTGATCTGGCTGACAGTTGGTGAGTTGATCCAGGCACAGAATCTTTGGGAATGTCTTAAACTGAACTATTCTAGGTATTGCCTACCCTTTATTCTTTGCATTTTTGCCTTCATATCTGGCAACGAAATTCACGGAAAGTTCTTCCCTGTACCTCACATATCGCAATTACTGCATAACATCGGCTGTCGGTATCATCGGTCCGTTATCTGCAGCAGCAGGCGTGAACACCCGCCTAGGCCGGCGCTGGATGATGGGAATTTCGGCAGTGGTAACCGCAGTCTTTCTGTTTGCATATGTTGGCGTCAATAGCCCGTCCGCCAACCTGGCCTTTTCATGCATCACTAGTCTATTGGCTAATTTCGGTAAGATTTTGGGATTCTCTTCAGGACCTGGGCACACAAAAGACTAATGACAAGCGCAGAGTACGCAATCATGTATGCCTTTACTCCCGAGTCCTTCCCAGCACCACATCGCGGTACTGGATCTGGAACAGCAGCCGCGCTTCTCAGGCTAGGGGGGCTGGTTGCTAGTCTCATTTCATCACAGACTGGATTCACAAGTGCACCAATCTATGCCAGTGCCGCACTGTGGGTTGCTGTGGGAGTATTCTGCTTAGGTCTGCCATTTGAGACACATGGACATGATGCACTTTAGGGTGTTGAGTAGATCGGGGTATTTTCGGGGACACGAGAATGATTCATCTTCCAGAACTCTTAGATTGTTTTATTCATGGATTCCGAGGTCTGCCAACGGGGTACGGGATTAGACTTCTGCACCAGCCCAGAAAGCCCGGACCCAACCCAGCCCAATGCGGAAGTCTATACGGGGTGCTAGATAATCAGATACAGCTACTGTTTTGACCTCTGTTCCGTGATCATAACAAATATAAGGGAAGGGATACGTGTTTCTATGAGCTATTACATTCTGTCCATCAATTTCCCAGGTGATGGATGATTGGGAGAAAATGTAGGTGTTTGTTTTCTGCCTTAGGCCACAACATCTTTCATGGCGCCCGCGGGCTGTTTCGATGTTTCCCTCTTGGTCCCCCTTCTCTCCCCGTCCTCCCTCTCCATCAATCAATTTCAACATCAGAAGGTCTCATGCTTTGCTTATTACTCCGGAGGTCTCAGATATCTCAATGTACTCGCGAATTGACTGACAAAATATATTCACATGGACCGAAGGCAGACAAGGAGGTAAATGCCTCTTGAAAGCGCGACAGATTCTGGTTTCTATACCAATAAGTCAACATCAAGAGATTTTAAGATGTTTCAAAGTGAATGTCTTGGCTCCGCTGATAACTGTGCATTCTCAGAGCCTTCCCTTCAAGGTCCCTAGCTCTGGCCCGCCAAGGTTCGCAGGTCTGTATATCTGCTGTTGCAGTGTGCTTGCATTGATCTGGGAGAATTGTCAGTTAGATTCAAGAACTGTGAAGCCTGATGTTCGCACATGATGAGGACCAAGCTCTGCTACTGTTCGTACGCCAAGCAGGCGCATGCACGTTTTCATCTCCTCGGACAAGACTAATCATTGGGAGATGATTATTAGCGCCAAGTCACATACTTTCAAGTCCGACTTACTTTTCAGCGTTCGCTCAACACCCTCGGCGCCGCCCGCGGCTAGACCCCAGAGGGCTGGTCTCCCTATTCCAACGCACCTGGCCCCAAGACAGAGCGCTTTGATGACATCCGTTCCTCGACGAATACCACCATCTACCCAGACCTCCACTCGCTTGAAGACATCGGGACAGTATGCTTGGATCTCCAGGAGGGTGTGTACAGCCGGCGGTGCTGTATCGAGCGATCTTCCTCCGTGGTTTGAAAGCACGATCGCCTTGACAAAGGGGGCATACTGAGTTGCTAGGAGTGCATCCTCGTGCGTTTGTATTCCCTTGAGGACAACAGGCTTCTTTGTATGCTTGGATAGCCACTTGAGAGTGTCTGCCCAGGTGAGGGACGGGTCCGTTCCAGCGAATAGCTGGGCACTGACGCTTCCTGTTGAGCTGGCCTGGATATTGATTCGCTCGTCATCTTCTCTTTTCCCGGATACTGGTGCATCCAGAGTCAACACAATGAACTTGATTTGATCAAGTCGATCGACGCGCGCTAGCATATCCTCGCTGGACTTCCTGTTCAGCTGGACGTACAATTGCCATCCAAATATCTGCCCAGGAGTTGCACCAGCAACGACATCTTCGGGGGAGACTGAGGAGTTGTTTGCGATTATCTGCAACGCATTGAATGGGCGACATCCTTGGGCGATCCCCGCCTCGCCGGTGGAACGCCCCAGGCGTGCCATGGCGGTGGGGCTGACAAACAGGGGCAGTCCAACCCTATGACCAAGAATTTTCATTTCAAGATCGCAGGCTCTGCAGTCCACAAATATCCGTGGTCGCAGCATAATTGACCGATATGCTTGTGTGTTCTGAAGCTTTGATATCTTGTCGTCCGAGGCAGAGTAATAGTATGCCCAGGCCTTTTTACTTATCACTTTTGTTGCAGCCTCTTCGATCTCCTCAAGGTTCAGCAGTGTGTTGAGGTCTGTCTTTTCTTCAAGAGCGAGATTTGAGGGTGGATCTTTTGGCTTTTGTGGCTCGCAGAGCCCAAGATACGAAGATTCGATCTCTTTGAGTGTCTCAGCGGGATGTATTAAATCGAAGTCCTCGGTGGCGTCCCTTCCTGCGCAACGTAGGATCGCCTGGGAGCCCCCAGGATGCTCTTCCAAAAAGTTGGTGACCTTCTCACAGTTAGCCAGCCCAAGGATATGCGACAATACTTGGATTTCGTACATCGTAGACCTTTCCATACAGTATGACCCAGCAACTATCCGCAGCTTTGTGCTTTGCGACTGATCATCCTTAGTACTTCTTCCTCTTCGCAGGACGACTTCATGTTGATTTACCAACCTTCCTCATTGGTGAACATCGAGGCTTGAGTGCTGAAAAGGCTTGTGATCGTGGATGAGGGAATGTTGGCTGAACACTATTGTCTCAATCCCAGCCAAAATCGCTCTGATTTGATGCTCCGCGCATTTGTGGAAGGGGACGGGGGTCATGGTGAAATTTGTCAGGTGCAAAAGATAACAATCATGGATGGGATAAAGCCCATTCATTTCTCACGATGGGAAATTGTAATCAAAGTTGAGTGGAGTCTATGGGGGAAGTACCCCCATCCTTGAATGGTGCCGTACAGCGATGGGGGTGGGACGTGGAGCATCTTGGATGGCAACTCCACTGCATCTCCTTTTAAAGAGACCTTGGCTGCGAAAGGCCTGGGAAGTAATTCCATTCCCTCTTTGAATTTACCTTTCCCATTTCTCTCGGATTCTTCGCTTTCAACGTCAATCAACATGGGGAAAAAGCGAGTCCTTGTCGGTTATGGTGTCGATATTGACGCTGTCGCCGGCTGGCTAGGCTCATATGGAGGCGAGGACAGTGTCAGCGATATCAGTCGAGGTACTGTGTTGTCCAGTCAATTCCCTGGATGTCACTCACATTGCGCTAGGTTTATGGGCCGGCCACATCGGAACCCCCCGCGTGCTGAAACTGTTCGAGAAATACAATATTAAGGCAACATGGTTCATCCCCGGTCACTCTTTGGATACTTTCCCAGAAGAGTGCGCGATGGTGCGAGATGCCGGGCATGAGATTGGTCTTCATGGGTACTCGCACGAGAATCCTTCGAGTCTATCCACCGAACAGCAGCGCGATATTCTCGACAAAACCTACAATATGTTGACGGACTTCTGTGGCAAGCCACCAAGAGGCATCGTGGCGCCTTGGTGGGAAGCCAGTGCAGAAATGGTTGACCTTCTGTTACAATATGGCATCGAATATGACCATTCTATGTCGCACGAGGATTGTCAGATGTATTGGTTACGAACAGGGGATACGTGGACGAAGATTGATTACGAAAAGAAAGCGGAAACATGGATGAAGCCATTGGTCAGGGGAAATACAACTGGTCTTGTTGAGATTCCCGGAAGCTGGTATATCGATGATCTGCCCCCGATGATGTTCATCAAGAACTCGGCCAACAGTCACGGTTGGGTCAATCCTCGAGATGTTGAGGATATATGGAAGGTCTGTCTACGGGTTCAATCATGGGTGAACCAGACCTCGCTAACCAAGCTCGATTTAGGACCATTTCGATTATTTCTATCGAGAATATGACGAGTTTGTGTTTCCGATGACGATTCATCTTGATGTTTCTGGCCGGCCCCATGTCTTGCTTATGCACGAAAGGCATGTCCCAAGTTCACCTTTCTCGTATGCTGTGCGTATTGGGATAAGCTAACCAACTATGTGTAGAATCATTGAATACATTAACAGCCACGAGGGAGTGGAATGGGTAACTTTTGAGCAAATGTCTGATGAATTCAAGGCGAAGAACCAACCTCCCGCGGGCGCAGTAATGCCTGCTGCCCCTGGAAAAGTAGCTAGAACCGCAACTTGATCGCTCATTGAGACTGGGCCAGCATATTTTATTCAAAATTCACATGATTGAAGATATTTCCGTGCAGAAATCCTTCAACCTTTGCAACCGAACAAGAGAGAATGGTGTTACCCGGGCTCAGTGATTCTCAATCGGATCTTCATGTGGGATATCCGATTGTTTTTCTTTTTTCTTGTCACGTATGACTAGCAGCTGGATTGCGATGACACTGATGATTGCTGCAATTACCAAGCCGAATGTCGTAGGGAATCCATATCCTGTGATCGTTAGCTCGGTCCACAGAACGCGACACGAACTGCACGTGAGTGATTATACTTACTGAATGTCGGGGCCATAGTCTGTGGGAAGATTATGATAGGCAACCATGCAGCTACAGCATATTGGAAACCATTCATGCTGCTAACAACAACAGCTCGCTCCTCGTTGTCCCCAGAGCACACTTCGTTGGCCCAGGTGTAACTGAGTGGGGTCAGCATTGCTTTATGAATATCAGACTTCCTTGCCTCTGAGAGCACTTACAAGACCGCTGTCATGAGCTGGACATTTGCTGTGAGAAAAGCGAATTCCTTGAACTGCACGCTGGCGGGCCAAAATGCTAGAATCCCATTTGGCAAAAGCCCGAAGATCTGCCGCATGATTGAGTCGTCAGTAAAAATTCGGCATCCAGCTGGAATCCTGAATGCAGTCATACCAGAGGGATTAGCACCCAAGCAAATCTGCTGCCTGTATAGTCCGAAAGGAAGCCCCATAGCACGACGCAAGCCGCGGAGATAAGTGACGTGCCAGTGGGGATAAGGTTTCTGTCAACCACGGAAAAGCCCTCCGATTTGAGCCAAATCCCAAAGTAGCTGCTGGCGCCACACGATGACCCGTAGAGCTAATTTCGCAAGTTTAAATGTTAGGTGATGTCCCCAAGATTCAGACATGAGAATACTCACCACGTAACCCAGAACGAATGCATACCATTTCCACGATCCAAGTATTTTCTTGAATGTTTGTGTGGTGATTTCTACGGGTGCAGCCTTGCCAGCTTTCAAAACCCGCTCTTTTGCAAGCTGTCGCTCTTTTTTGGACAGAAACCATACACGAGTGGTGTGTGGTGTATCAGGAAGCAGGAAATAGGTCGCAATTCCAACTGGGAGAGTCATGCACTGCGTTATGTCAGATCTATCATTGATTGATCACCCGTTAGGAAAACTCACCCCACAAATGAGATATAACCATCTCCATCCAGCGAGACCATGAGCCCCATTCATATTCTTATACACGGCCGCCTGTAAATAACCTCCAAAGGCTGATCCCAGAGGAGCAGTCATGTGAAATAGCGCAACTCGTTTTGCCAGCTCGGTCTTCGTATACCAACTCCCAAGAACATAGAGCAAAACGGGGAAGAAGGAGCTTTCAAAGAGTCCGACCAGGAAGCGGAAGGCGTATAGCTCGCCCACATTATGCATACCAGCTTGCGCAAATGTGAAAATAGCCCAACCAACCTCCATTGCTGCAAGCCAAATGCTGGGTCGGATGCGCTGAATAATGAGCGTGCTTGGGATTTGCATGGCAGCGTAGGCGACTGTGTATACCGTTTGCGCATAGGTATATTCGTTGCCATACATTGAAAGGGCTTCTTGTAAGCCTGACACGTATGCATTGGAAAGATTTCCCTGGTCCAGGTACTTCATAAAAAATCCCAAACATCCAATGCTAAGAAGGGCTGCATCAAGCTTGAGGAGAAGATGTTTCTCGTCTGCTGATTTGAGGTGAGTATCTGTGTCCCAGATGAAAGAACGGAATGACCGCTTGGGGGGCTCGGTGGCTTGGGTCTCATCCTCGGAGGCCGATTTGATCACAGTGGTCTCGGGGTATGGTTGTTTCGTTGAAGAGTCCCCCATTCCGAGAATTGATCCTGTCTTTTTTTTCGGATTCTTGAGTGAGCTCTCGAATAGAAACAGCTATCAATAGCCTTTTATGCGATTGGGATACCATCTCCTCAACGATATTCTTGGCCTATCACGACATAACCACCCCCCGGTGTCTAATCGGCCATCCTAGGCTATATCCCCGTTGGTGCCATATCTGGCGCCAATTAGCTATGTATTGCGCTTATTCCAAGATTCTTTCTATTGGTGAGATGGCACATTTGATAGCAACCCCGCACTTGTGCAGAAGAAATATCGTTGGGTTTCTAGTGAGGTCTAAAAGAAGACTATGGATGAATCAGATAGTCCTGTCCTATGACCTGTAAATATTCTCGGGTCCGAGATAAATAATGCGAAAAGTGAAATTGTAGGCTGAAGCTCTTAGACTTCAATTGCCGAACGACAAAGCTCTCTAAATACCTCGTTTAAGGTCAACCTTGGAAATATTGTCTATGCAGATGATACCTCAATGCCCACCTGGGCGGGTGTTTCTCGAAGGTCAGGCTTTGCCTGAATTCCTTTCTTTGTCGCACTTCCAATGCTCAATATGTAGTTTGCCCAAACCTCCTCGATATCGTTTTTGTAAATGAAGTCTTTATCCCCGTAGAGGAAAGTGTCGATTTTTGATTGCAAAATGACGTTGAAATCTTCGTTCTCGTTTTGGACTTGCTGCATTTTAGCTTTGTTTTCATCCAAGTGACGATACCTAAATCACAATGAGTTAGAAACAATTACCAGCCATCTCATATAAACTCCAGGGCTCGAAAATAGGATGACTCACATTCTTAAGTAGTAAGGAGAGCGAATTTCGTCAAATATTTCAAGCGCTTTTTCCACCGGATGAGCAGCATTTTGCGTGAGTTCGAGTGCTCGAGCGAGAATCCAACCGTCTTCCATGGCGAATGTTGCTCCAGACCCAAACGCCCCTATGTAATTGCTTAGTAAATGGTAGCCAGTCCCAGGAAATCATAGTTAAAATTGAACATACCCGACAAAGGATGACTGGCATCTCCAATAAGCGCAACCTTCTTCCAGCCTGTAATCCTATCCAAGCGCGGTCCTGCAAATGTGGCGAACTCTTTCCATTCTCCCTCAGGAACTGCACCTACGGCATCTCTCAATCTCTGATCGAATTTCTGCTCTAGAAGTCAGTGTGGGCCTTTCAGTGTCAGGGGAGACTTCGCACCTCAACTCGAGATCCCACTTTTTCGTTCGTGGCTGGAATGCCCCAAAAGACTGTCTTTCCCGAGACATGGGGTTCGCAGTAAGATCTCACAGTGATCTCAAACAGAGGGTCATCGAACTCCGTCTCATCGTCCACATCTGAGAGATATACGTGGCCATCTTTACCCCACCACCAAGATGTCGTCGATGTGATTTCTGGAATATGAGCCAAGCTTGACTTAGGGACTAGTACGCGAAAGGCACTATTGCCAGTAAAATGAAGCTCATGGCCTTGGAATAGGGTCCTCCGAAGGATCTTTTGGGAGTCAGTAACCAATCAAATAGAATATGGGTAAAACATGTTGACCAACCGAGTGGAGACCGTCTGCTCCAACTACAATGTCTGCGATTGTCTCTGTCTGGTCCTCAAACACCAGTCGAGTACCACTTGTCGGCAAATCTTCCAACATGATAAGCTTTTTACCATATTGGATGATACCCTCGGGTACCTTGGCCAAAAGCGCTGACTGCAGCCGGGTCCTGCGAGCACGAATTGCTCCACGAGACTGTGCCTCGGAATTTTCTGGGTGTTTGATGATACTGAGAACTTCTCCGGTGTATGCATTCCTAAAGATAGAATCCACGGTATTAGGTAGGTCGCTTAAATGCTTCGAACACTTCAATGTGGTTACTCACCTTTGATGTGTATTTGACTTTGAGCCTCCTTTCACCCCATCACTTACTCCTAGCAAATCCAAGACTTTCCACGCGTTTGTGCTTAGACTAATACCCGCACCGGCCTCCCTTGGCTCTGGATTTTTCTCGTAAAGAGTAACCTGTAGGAATGATAGCTGGGAAAGGGCAATGGCAGCTCCTAATCCTCCGGGCCCCCCACCAATGATAGCAACGGAGGTCAACAGTTGTCCGACCATGTTTGCAACAGACTTGCTCTTGGTTAATTTTATGAAAGGTGTTTACCGGTTGATCTTCAGATGAAATGGATATGCGGACTTGATAATAACTGAGGGGGTTGAGCCATCGCACGCCATCCAAGCCCGAAACATGTCATTTGTTACTAAGGTGTCGTTGTCTCCAACTCTGCTCTTCGTCAATTAAAATTGGCCGATAAAGAAAAGGGATTATTAATAGCATTATAGACAACTCTTATCCTAATGTTGGCCCATTCCTTTGCTTAATACGATTTCGGGAAGGGCTTGGCACGGCAGGATTTGTAGAACAAACGAACAATTGCCGAGCATGCCAACACTTTAGTAAACAACCATACAATTGAACATATCAGCTCTTTTTTGCCGTTTTTTTTATTTCCTTTAGAGGACAAACCTTGGAACATACCAACCCCTTAAGATTATGAGGTCTAGCCTGGGAGATCACCCAGGCATTGGATCGAGGTGACAACTTCAGGTTTAGAGTTTCATGCATGTTGTTGATCTTGCATTGATCTCTACACTGAGTACTGGTACACTATAGTAGGCTGATATCATTCCCAGGATGAATCCTGGCTGAATGTATCCGTTTCTCATTTCCACATGAATTTTAAGCACTTGCGCTGAGACTTTTTTGGCTCCTTAGTGGGTCCCGAAAAGTTCTGCAGACATAACCCAACTGGTAGGTACCAGACTATCACGCACGATGTATGTCCAATGAAAATCGAAACAGTGTGAATGTATACAACATATGAGTTGTGACTATGGGAGGAACTTGTGGACAGGACGGATCCCATGTCATGGTCAACACCACTCTCGATTCCGACAATGCAGCCGCACAACCTGATCTCCCAAAATTGGAACAATCAACAAAGCACGAGAAAGGATGGAGAAGAGTCGTTCGTAACTTCACGCCATCGTAAGTGGCACATTACCTAGACCTGGCATCCGGCTAACCTGGCCCAGATGGTTTTCTGTCACCATGGGCACGGGGATTGTGTCTATGCTGTTGCACAGTCTGCCCTACAACGGAGTATGGCTGTACTGGATCTCCGTCGTGATATTTGTGCTCAATGTGCTCCTATTCATGGCCGGCTGTTTCATCACTATCCTTCGACACACGCTGTATCCGGAGGTTTTCTTAGCAATGATCAAACACCCAGTCCAGTCAATGTTTATGGGCACCTTTCCCATGGGACTGGCAACAATCATCAACATGATATGTGCTGTGTGTGTTCCTGCATGGGGTCAGAGAGCCAGCTATCTAGCCTTTGGGCTATGGATCTTGGACGCTGTAATATCAGTGACCGTAGCTCTGTTATTGCCATTCATGCTGTGAGAGTACCTTTCCACACACACCCGGTGCCATGCTAACTCTTTCAGGATGGCCAACGGAGAGGAAACCCAACTGTCTTCCATGACAGCTGTGTGGCTTCTTCCAATCGTCAGCTGCAACGTTGCCGCCTCTACCGGGGCCGCCGTGGCCGAAGTCCTTCCGAACCCCGACTACGCTCTATGGACCGTGCTTGTCAGCTATGTCCTATGGGGTATCGGGCTGCCCCTTGGGCTGATGGTCATGGTGATCTACTTGGCGCGGCTTGCGCTCCATAAGTTGCCACCCAAGGCTGTCATCGTTAGCGTCTTCCTTCCACTGGGACCATTGGGCCAGGGCAGCTTAGGGTGAGTCGGGAATTCCAGGCGGATGCAAGTACTCCCAACACTAATACCCTTGCCAGAGCGACAAAATTGGGAGAATGCGCACGAAATGTCTTCCCTAAAACCCATACCCTTGAACAGGGCTCAGAGGCGAGCTTGTACACCACCGGTTTTCTCATTGGATTTGCTTTGTGGTCATTCGGACTTGTCTGGCTCTTTTTTGCTATTGCCTCGATCGCATGTAGCAGGACATTCCCTTTCAACATTGGTTGGTGGGGATTCACTTTCCCACTGGGAGGGTTTGCAACTGCGACCTGTCAGATTGGAAAGGAACTTCCATCGGAATTTTTCGATATAATCGGAACTGTATGAAATGTGATCCCAGAATCTGGAGTTGGGCTAATCTAAGTTAATCTATTGCAGATCCTCTCCCTTTCGGTTGTGATATTGTGGATCGTCGTAAGTATCGGCACTTTGAAAGGGGCAGTTTCAGGCAAACTCTTTTTCGCGCCCTGTTTGGCAGACCTTCGGGAGGACAAGGATGATGACAAGACCGCTTGATGTGATTAGTCTCGGGGGTCACACGCATTTGCTTGTACCAGTGGGTTGTATAGTTTGACGGGGATCGCGGAATATAAGCAGTTGGCGAGGACCACGGTGCCTGGGAATGCACTGTAGAGAATCTGGCTTGACACGAAGATCAACCTCAGTACCGGACACTGTCGGACAGTGTACTCTGTGTCATCTCAAGCCTTCGCAAGAGCGTGGGAAATACGGAGTAGGTCGGTGCCCAGGTCCACGGGTGGTTCCCCCAGATCACGTGATGTGGAGAATTCATTTCGATTTTATTTTATTTATTTTATTTTTTATTTTTTTAATATTTTTTCCCTCGCCATCGAGGATTCCAGCCCAGTGTCATCCACTTCGTCTCCAATCTACTTTTGCTGGGCCCTGTCATCTCCAACGGGTCTCAGCAAATAGATTTGGCACACTTTCGCTGGCCCTCTGGCTCTTCTCAACTGCTCCTCCCCTTGAATTCTCTTTCAGTGCGCCCGTCGACTCACTTTCGAACTGCGCTGACTGGCACCACTCGGTCTCCGTAGCCGCTAAACCCGATCCGGACGCTATCTTGGTTGCCTTGTTGCCTTGTTGCCTTGCTGTCTTGCGGCCTCAGGCCTGATTAGAACAACAAAACACGCGCGGCCTCGGCGCGACTCGAGTGGCGATTCTCCCGTATAGGATTGCCAGCGGCGCTGGCGGCGCGATAGGTCTTGAGATAGTCACCCCCCGTTATTCCACATTCTCTTCCCCACATTAGCTTGCGACGGTCTTGACTATTGCGCCCTTGCATGCCTCGCGTTTGAAGGGATTGCTCTAATCTCCCGCTTACGGCAAGTGTGCGCGCCTCTCTAAGCCAAGATGATGAACTACGGAGGTCATCCGTTCAATCAACAAGCGCCTCAGCAGCAACATCCAGGCGCTCAGCCTCAACATCCCTTGAATTCGCAGCCTCAACGCCAACATGCCCAATCACCACTGCTGGGCGCGGGGTCCGCACTTCCCCAGCAAAGTCCGTTCCCTGGCAATAAGCCAAACTTTCGCCAACAACCACAACATAATTACACGGCGTCGCAATCCCCGGACTTGCGGAAGATGACCCCCACCTCTGGCTCATTGGGTGGGTACCCAACCGGGACCAGCTTTGCTCAATTCTCGGGCCAATTTGGAGCGCAAAGCTCCCCTGATCTCATGGCGCGCAATCCTGACCCGATGGGTTTGCAAAATCTGCAGCGCGGCTTTAACCCGATGGCTCACCTACGGCCTCAACCGGGAATGGGAGCTCCCGCTGGCATTCATCCTATGAATGCCCCTTCACCGCAGCAGACTTTGAATCGACTGCCTCATGCTAATATGCACCAAAGAGAGCATCACTCTTCAGCAAGTCCCTCCATGGCAAACCCGTCGATCTTCTCCATGAATCAACAGCGTCAGCCGCAGTCGCAGTCGCAGCCCCAATCGCCCCAACAGGCGCAGCAGGCGCAGCAAACACAGCAAACACAGCAGCAGTTGCAACAGCAGATTCAACAACAACAGTACCAGCAACGACTTGAACAGCACCAGATCCTGGAGCAGCAGAAGCAAATTCAGCAGCAGCGCATAGAGCAACAGCGCCTTGAGCAACAGCGTGTCGAACAGCAGCGGGCTGAGCAGCAACGCATTGAGCAGCAACGAGCGGAGCAGCAGCGGTTGGAGAAGCAACGAGCGGAACAGCAGCAACAACAACAGAAGGCCTTGGAACAGCAGAAGTTAGACGATCAACAGCAGCAGGAAAGGCAAGAACGGCTAGAGCAACAACGTATTGAACAGCACAAGTTGAGTCAGCAAAGGTTGGAACAGCAGCGACTGGAGCAGCAACAAAAGCAGCAGTTGGAGCAGCAAAGGTTGCAAAAATTACAGCAACAAACCCAGGCGCAAAATCCGTACCAACATCAATCGCCATTCGCTCAACACGCGCAGTCTCCGTTCCATCCGTCTCAATACCAGCAGCATCAAGCCCAGCCCCAGCATCAATATACCCAACATCAGGCTCAATTCGCTCAACCACAGCCCCAATTCCAATCTTCTCCACGCCAAACTCAGTTCCAGCATTATCAGCCGCCAGCACACTCAGGAATCTCATCTTCTCAGCCACCTGCTTCCTCGATGCCGAAAGCCACGCAGAGTCCGGTTTTGAAAGTTGAAGAGCCGAGCTCGGCGCCGAAGAAGAAGAGCAAACCGAAGAAGCCGGTACAGACGCAGCCTCATCAAGTCCAGTCTCAGCCTCAGCCTCAGCCCCAAAGCCAAGCTCATGGGCAATCACTCGTTGATCACCAAGCTCAGCCTCACGCCCAAAATCATATCACTGCTCCTATCGGTGTCCCTACGGTGACACCGACTCAAACCAATGGACAAGCACATATGCCTGGCTTGACAGCGACTGGGGGCGATCAGGTGACACCAACCCCCAAGCGCCGTCGTGGACGACCACGCAAAGAGGAGGTTGCCGCCAGATTAGCTGCTCAGGCTGCTCATGCTGCCGCAAATGGCGAACCCATCCCAGGGATGTTGGTACCAGGACAAGCTTCATTCACGGCGAACATGACACCTACCGGTGCTTTGCCACCATCTACATCTAAGATAACTCCGATTCTAGGGCCCGATGGGACCCCCTTGAAGCGCAAACGTGGACGCCCTCGCAAGGCAGACCAAATTGCCTGGGCAGCTGCAACGGGGCAACCTTTACCACCGCCAAAACCAAGGAAGCCGTCCTCGGCAAAACCAAAACCACCTACCGGTCGACCTCGGGGCAGACCTCGCAAGGCTGATGTGGCGGCGGCAGCGGCTGCTGCTGCAGCAGCTGCCGCCAACGGTGATCAGGCACCGGCACAGAGCAACCCCCAATCTGTCGATGGCATAGATGCGACCACGGGATTGAAGCGCACAGCATCTGCCATGGGCGATGAAGCACACAAACGACCATGTCCGACGCCCCCTCAGATGCATCAGGGTCAAACTCTTACGGGTCAACCGATACAAGGTCAACCCATGCAAGTCCAGGGCATGCCAGGTCAACAACCTCTGCCGCAACACCAGCATCAACACATGTTCCAAGCCCAGCAGCAACCGAATAAACATATGCACAGTCAGCCTATGCAGCAACAGGCAAGCCAGCACCTCGGCCAGCCCCAGGTTCCGCACATGCATCAACAACAGCAACATATATCCCCTCAACCAGGACATATGTCGCACAACCCGGCTCTTGCCAAGCAGGCGGGCCAGCAGCTGTCAATGCCACACATGCAAATGCACCATCAATCCCCGGTGCACCCAGCACGTCCCCTTCCTCACCAACCATATATCCAATCTCCGATGCAGCAGCAGATGCAACGCCCCATGCAGTCCGAGTCGCCGCATGGTATGCCAGCACAGCGCAGAGCTCCAATCCCCCAGCGGACGCAGGCACCTCCTCCGCCAGCGCCCCAGCACGAGCATCAGCACACATTCCAGATTAAGATGCAGCCACAGCCAACTTGAGCTGGATTTGACCCGCATTCCTATATATTCCTCGTGTTCATTATTCATCTCTTTTCAATCATGATCGATACTCACATGCCCTTGCCCTTTGCACGCGTTGTTGTCTACGAAGTCTCGTATCAAGTCTTGCGATCTTTCTATGGTGTTGGCGTTGCATGTACGGCATACTTGGCATTTCTTTCCCATTCACTTAGCCAGTGGGTTCCAATGGTGTTTACATATTACTGTCATCGATCTAGTACATAGTCTCTAATCTCAGTCTGTTAATCATGTACATTTTCACGCTTCAAACTTTCACCTATGTTATTTTACCCAAGCTACCACAGGGTAGGCTACGGTTTTTCTATGAGGGGCAGTCGCTCATTGACAAGCGCTTCAACTTGGAAACACACTACCTAGGTAGGCACTTCCAAGTTGAGGACGCTAAGCTCCGCTGCTCCTACCTAGGTACCGCCGTAATAAGAGCCTAGAGTATATCGCGCTACTACCTAGTACTAGGTAGCTATACTCCACCTCCAGGCTGGCAGATCTCAGCAGCAGTTCTCTGACTTTTGAACTAGCTTAGCGAACCGCCTACTACCCCCTCGGGCAAAGGCTCTGCTATACCTAGGTACCTAGTACGATGTCATAAGCATCTTGCCATCTGAGGGCGGTGGCCCGCTTTACCTACCTACCTAAGTACCTACCTAGCCTAGGTAGGTACTACCCAGGGAATTACCTAGGTACTTGTGTATAGAATTCCACAGCATGGCACCCCTATATATCTCACGGGAGGTCTTGGGGGCGGGCTCCGCCTACCCCCCCAACCAAGTAACCAACCTAGTAGTAGGTATGTGGTATCTACCAGTTAATCTGGATGAGTGGACTCGTTCCATGGCTACGGTGAGGTAGCTTCTACGGGTGCTATGAAACTACCTACCTAGATACTAGGTAGACAGTACCTAGATAACCTTAGATAGAAAAGGGTGCGGCCTACAAACTTAGTGACATGATGTATTCAGCCCTCGTTCTTACTTTGCCCTTCACATTTTCCCACCCTATTTATCTTCATTCCAGGAATCCGCAGCTTCTGCGATATTTATTCCCTACATCTACACCATGTCCACTGTTCCTGGTCTTCTACGCGTGATTCGCCACATTGTTGAACACAAGATTGACGCCCAAGACTTGGTACGAATGATGGAGGATAATAATACAGAGCTTCCACCGCTCGCAGTGACCTCGTTGGATCGGTATGATATCCAGAGGATGCTGGGCCTCACCCCGGTTGTGGATGATGAGTTCAACTTTGTTGCGCCCGTCCCCATCCCTCAACCTTGAAGATCTCAGTATGTTAACCCGATGGATCGTACAAAGAAAGAAGTTCAAAGAACCTTGGAAGCTAAACTCAGCTAGAAATCTGGTTTGAAAATTCGGACCGTGCTCATGGCAACAGCTTCGCAAAAGAGGTTAGTATCCGCTCCAAGCTAAACCTCTTGCTTGTGTCTGCTCATGATCTGGTGTCATCGTCTTTGGATGAATCCATGAGACCCTTGGCCATTCAGATGGAACGCTCATGGGCATATACACCCGTGAAATGGAAAGGGAAGTTGTGGATGCTAACGGGGCGTCCCGATTACGGAATTTGGTACGGTGAAAGGGAGGAGATCGAATTGAATGTCGTTGTGATGGAAGCAAAACGGCCAGACTACGGTAGTGCAGGGGTTTCACAGGCTCTCGCCTACATGGGTGAGTAACTCACGATATCGCTACCACAACGCACTCTTGGGCTGACCTATTAAAAGGCTGTGTCCACAGACAACGCAAAGACCAAGGGAAGGAAGACAGCACGGTCTATGGAATCTCTGCGGATGAGATGAATTTTATCTTCATCAAGATCAACAATGACTCCCAGGTAAGTGTATCTAAATCGGGTGGGAACTTAGTTCTAATGTTTACCAGTGGTCTGCCAAACACGTCGGCGTTACGAATAATGATTATGAAGAAGTCCTTGGCATCATCGTTCACCTGATGAGGAAAGCCTCAATGATGTCCCCGGACTCGAAACGGTCGTCTCGACGGGTTTAACAGGGATCGGGAGATTCAGACTTGGTATTTGACTATGACCCCGAGATGGATTGTGACCCCGAGATGGATGTTGAATGATTTTGCCGCCGCATTCGTCCTCTAGCCTTCTTTCCTGCATCATGTTCTTCATCTTAGCTGATCTCTCTTTTCTCGCCGTCTTAATATTCTTCTTGTTTTCTTTTGCTAAAATAGTACAATACTGCGTCTTCCACTTCTTGCTATTCATATGTTTACCCATGTCCCTTCACAGTATAATGGAGCCAATTACCCCTTTAGGTATGGGATAAGCGCAGACTGAGTGCTCACTAGATGCCTTCCGAGATCTGAGTATGATAACTAGGTTGTAATTGAATGGAACAATCGTTGAGATGGATGGTCATGTGTCCTCTCCGTTTAGTTCAGTTGTAGCTCCTCTGCTTCTGCCTCTCAGTGACTTCTCTCTACAGTAGAATCAACTCTTTCTGCTCTCTCTCTCTTGCGCTAGCCAGTAGCAAGCTCCAATAACAATGTATCCGGCTTCGACCATGCGGGGGGAGGCCATCCGGCAACAGGAGGCCGTTGCTGGTCAGGGGTTGTCTCAGGGGAGGGTCACCAATGCAACGCGATAGCCGCTGCTTGTTCCGTCCAAACTTTTCAGGGAAAGGAGAAAAGTGGTATGACCTGGAGAGATCCACTCGCCAGGATTGAGCAAAGCTCAGGAACGTGTCCCTGGAGCTATGTGAAGTCCAAGATGACGAAGAACGTGGTAACTTCCCATTTTGGCCGAAATTGCAAGGGTGAGCGGCCCTCATGGAGACCTTGGAATATTTGCGCGATGATAACTCCAGCACAACATTCTGACACGTCGCTAGCGACCTGTTCCCATCCCAATTGGGTGTTATTGAGGCCGTGCAAAGCTTGTGAGTGCGGCAGTTTCCATCTTTTCTTAAGCGTGCCAACCATCTGGATTCTGCTGTAATCGACCAAGTAGAGGGCCATTGGCAAGGGCATTGGTAAAGACCCCCTCCCGTCTCAGGTATTCCTTGACGACATTCCCTTCAGCTTCGTACCATCTCATATCGTAGGGAAGAATGATTTCATCTTCCACAAGCTGATCTTGAATGGCTCTGAAATTTTTAGTCCGCGCGCTTGCCGCTCGCTCTTCCTGGATTTTTATGGATTGACGCAAATCCGATTCAGCCGGTTGGTCAATCCGAAGCAGCTGTCTTGCCCTTGGGTCGTCGGGTTGAACGGGTTCAAACTGCCCAGGTGAAACCCATCAAGTACTCAAAGTGCTGGGTTTGCAGAGATCAGATAACTCAAGACACTTTCCAAAGTTTTAGACAGCCCAGTGGGAGGGATTTCTTACCTTGCTTCGCCTGCTGGTCGGCATTTCTCCTATGACTCCTCGTTAGAAATCGGGCATCTCGCGGATGTACCAGTTAAATGCGGAACCGCGAAAACATGACAGGTTGGTATGACTTCCTCGGGTTTCTGCGTGGCCAGCTCAAGCAATCTGTCACAAAGATATCACATCTCGGTATACCGTCACTCGGATCGTAACGTCAACTGGTCTGATCAAAATCTGGGTAAACTTCTGAGGTTGGAATCAGTAAATAGTAAGCAATCACCGTCACTAAAGAGTTCACTGATCACTCACTTCAGTCTGAGCCCGGACTGAATACTAAGTGAGGCTGGCTCTGCATCATAAGACCGGCTAGGATAGGAAAGCCTCAGGGGGAGGAATTTAATCACGTATAGCTACGGGGTATTCTGGACGCTATCATCAAGTCATCTCTTCATATGAGTCAAAAAATGCAGGCTGAATAATAACTACAAAACACCACCCTCAAAATCAATCAACTCCTCGAAAGCTTCCATGCCACTGCCACTATCGTGACCACTTTCCCTGCCGTTCCCATTCCCATCGTCCCTATTCCCATTGCTGTTTCCATTCCCACTCGAAGCCCGACTCGACCGAATCGCTTCAACAAAGCGACTCCCATTAGGCCAATCCCGCAAATCAATATCAAGCCCCGGCGCAATCTTCTTCACAACGCCCTCACAAATCACGAACGCCTTCCTCGCAGCCGGATCCAGAGAAGCAGTCGCATGAAGCCATTGCATTGCCTTCCTCGCTGACGCAATCGCTATGCTCATATCCGTCTCCAGAAGAGGGGGGTAAATGGCCGGTATCGCAGGGGAGCCAGGTGTCGCATCCGGGCTACGTGGACTCTTCATACGCGCGTATGAGCAATATGAAACACCAAGAAGGAGTGCAGTCGTTGCCTGCATCAGGTAGTGGAGAACGCCCCACCATGGCGCTGTGCGGGCCAGCCAGGACATGTTGGGTTCGTCAGGGAGTATGGAGATCATGGCGCACGAGGCCTGGAGACATTGCGTTGCCATTTCGGCGCGCGATTGCGCGCGAGGCGTGCCGCTTGTTTCTGGGGAGCGTGGCTGGGAGGATTGGGTGTGGATGTGGGTTAGGCATGGTCTGCAGAGGGTGATTCGGGCGGAGTAGTAGGACATGGCTAGACAGACGCTTTCGCGGACGAAAGGTGCGGAGATGTCGTCGAGCTTGGGGTGGTTGAGGTGCCAGGGGCCGGCTTCGGGTAAGGTGAATTGATAAAATGAAGGGACCTTGTCTAGCCAACGGTCCATTCGGATGCCGAATTTGGATACATGGTACTCGATCTGAGAGGGCCCTTTACGAAGGCCTTCGATGGAGTAAACTTTGTTCATCAGTGCATGGGTGATGAGATTGAGGTCGACCAGGAAGTGGAAGAAGAGGGATGGACAGGGAAGACATGAGGATATCCAAGCCGGTGAAGTGATCTGAGTGGACGTTTCAAACAAGGTAGGAGTCAATTGAGATTCACGGAGATTTGTATCTTGCAGAAGCTGTTGGATTATAGGATGATTGAAAAACTCTTCCTCGCAAGGGAGGGGAGGTGGCACAGAACAAAGGCCCTCGCCTACACAGGAGGCGCGCCCAGTCATAGATGTTAATATGTGTTCCATCGAATAGATGGACCACCAAAGACGACCACGGGCCTCCTTTGCGGAGTCTTCTGTTCGGTTATCTGTCAATCGGAGATTGATCCCCAGTGATAGCGCGGAGCGGAGAGCCATATTGGAGAATTTGGAGGCCCTGTGCTGGGGTTAGCGTCACATCGCAGTGTCGTTATCGAAACTCGGACATACCTGTTGATTTGTCCCAGGCAGAGAAGATATACAGCGACTAGTAATTCCAGCTGGATCTGCTGGAGATCGGTATGCTCGAAAAGAACATTACCATGCAAGCCGAGATGGCGCGCACGCGTCAAAAAAATAAGGTCCTCTTCGTTCGAGTCAGGATTGCCTACAAGACGGGTATAGCGACAGCCAATCGCGAAGATCATGTTCAGAATCGCCAACCATTTCACAGGTGGCGATAAAGTGTTTTCGACAAACTTCTGGTACTGTGAAATGAAGGTTTTCAAACGAATGGCGCCAAACGTCGGATGAACATAGGTCAGGAAGGCGCTGAAATAGCAATCTGCAAGTTCGCGCGGCGGCACAGCAAATGGATCGCACGGTTCGACCATCGGGATCTCCAGATTGTCAAGATGATAGTCCATCATCGAAGTCGACGGGGTCCTTTCCATCTGTGGCCGCTGCGTGAATGACGAATGTTGGCTACTACCAGGATGGAGAAAGGGTGCAGCGCCGCCAGGGCTTTGCATATGCATATCAGTCTCCAGCTTGCGCATCCACTGGATCTCCGAGTTCTTTCCGAAAAAGCCGGCGGCGCGCGTGCCCTCGCTTCGGTTCAGGTCCTCGTCTACCTGGTCGATAGCCTCGAGGGAGCCCATTGAGGAATCCGAATCGGAGCCGTCGTCATGCTTAGGGCTTGGTTTCCCAGGGTTCTGTACGGACAGGGATCGTCAAAAGTCTGAACACGGAGCCCAAATCATTCGATCCGAGATTCGAGTGAGACGGAGTCTGATATTTCCGAACATACCTTCATGGTTCTCCGGATCTTTCGGGCTGTTTCGAGGTCCACCTCGTCCTCAAGATCTCGGAGTAAAGATTCATACGCTTCCACTCGCTTGGCCAGTAGCCCCAGTCGCTTTTGGTCGCGCACTCTTTTCACGTCCTCGTATACACACTGTTGGTGGTGGTAGATGCATTGCGAACATGACGGCCGCAGCCCGTCGCATTTAATTTTGCGCTGGCGGCAAGGTTCGCACGCGCGCGCTGACCGGCGACGGCCATGCGATACATCGCTGGGAGCTAACCGAGGGATGGCTACTTTAGGCACCGCTGTGCCGGGAGTTGAGCCAGGAACGGACGAGGAGGGCGCGGGATCTAATTGGAAAGATGGGGCGGCTTGGGAGGACGCCGATGTCGAGAAAGAGTTCGGTGTCGGGTACGAACTTGGAGCAAGCGATCCGGAGCTCTCAGATGGATTCAGCCAGGGTCGTGGGTTTTTGTCAGGTGGTTGTGAACGATCCATGATGTAGACGTTGACATGGATGTAGGAGAGACGGAGCTAAGCAGGCGAAGTGTCGCACCAGTACCGAACCCAGCGGCAGAAAGACGACTCGCAAAAAGTCCTTCGAAGTCGCGGGCCGAGGAGATGTAGGAAGTTGCCAAGACATCCTGGATTGACGTCAGTTGGGAGCTTGGGGCAAACGACGCGCTCTCTCTCTCTCTCTGCTCTGCAACTCGTCCCTCTCATTTCTCATCTGTGCCACAATTCTAATCTTCCGTGTGGCCCGGGACGAATGAGATCTCGTCCCTTGTGGAATGACTGCAGATCTGAATTTGTGATATCATTGTTCCATACAATGGCCTCGCCACTCAACACAGGCCCAGCGGGCTGTATGGAGTAGGTACTGATGATGCTTTCTTTTTCTTTTTCTTTTTTTTTTTTTTTTTTTTTTTTTTTTTTTTTTTTCCGTGTTTTTACAACCCACAAGATACCTCTCCGCCAGGACATCATCTTTCCCCAGACTCAGACCTTTTTTTTTTTCTTTTTTTTTTTTT